AGTTTGATTTTTTGTTTTCGGGGGCTAAAGGAAATTCGTTAAAAAGATCGTGAAAGTGAAATGGCACTTTTAAATTGACCTGTAGCATGTATCCAAAACGATCCGTGGGTTTTAAATTGAGAATAAAGTCTTCGGTAAATTCTCTAGATTTTCTACCCTTTCAAAACCTCCAAGTGGTAAGGATTGGCTCATGGCCCGTCCGTAAAGATTGTTTGTGCCGAGATACAACAAATAACTTGTGTGCTCGTTTGGGTTATAATCGGCGAGATATTTGTTATCAGCCCTGGCATATCGTTTACCACCGACGTTGGAGATGCCACCTCGTTTGGCTTTTTCAAAAAATAAATGTTTGTCATTGTCTTCGAATAATTCAAGTTGTATGCCAGAATGTTTAACAACGCGTCCCAAAAAAGCCCCGGCGACGTATAATAATTTGCTGGATCTAGGCTATAATTGTCGTAACACGTATTTCCAAAATTTTGAAACTCATCCGCTAAAAGCAAAGTGTCTGTTTTAATGTATAGGTCGTGGTAATTCAGTGTCAGTGACGCTCGATCGTTTGAGCGAGCTATAAAACAAATGTTGTGGTGGAAGTTGCGTTTCGTTAAACTTGGCAAATAAATCTATGTACTCGACGGTTAAAGGCTTTTTTTTCGTAAGCAAACTTGCGTTTTCGAGTTTTGCAATGTGCTAGAGTTTATTTTTTGGACACGCTCTGACAATATTGTCCAACGAAGCGAATCGAAGTTGACCGAGGCTAAACGAAACGTATTTTTCGCTACTTTTAGGAATGCAAGAAATTATGGCCGTGCGGTCATTGCCTTTAAACATAGCCGCTCCTTGCATAATGAGATGCGCGTCATAATTTTCCAAGTTGTGAGATATAACGGGAATCGGCACGAGTCGAAGTTGTAAATTGCAACAAGAGTGAGCTGCGCCTCTAAAGACACCCGTAATGTGACAGTGATCTCTGACTTTGGGATTTTTTGGTAAACGTTTTTTTACAATCTTTACATTTATTCTTACCTTCCACCTTGATTGGGTTATCGCAGCAACATTCGTATTTATAATAACAAAAGAGTTTTTTCACATGTCTAACACTTTTCGGCTTCTCGATAAATTTTTTTCTTCTTCGGGCGTTAGTTTAAGCGGTTTGGGGTTAGCAAAATTGTCGTTAATTTTTTCGACTTGTTCCATGAGACTTGCAACAAATACTTTACTCGCATTTGGTCCTCGGTAAAGTTTTTCGCCCATTTTACGATTGTCATATCGTATCACTGCGTAATAAAAACCGCAAGGGACGTGTTTTTGTAAAGGAGACAAGTCTGGTGTTTTTTCTAAAATTGATTCAAAATCTGCATAAATCACAAATGGTGTTTTGTTTATGTCTAAAATTTCTAAATTTTAATATGGGTATTCTTCGTATAACCCCTGTTATGGCATTTCAACAAAGCAAGCTGGGCTTCCTTCCCTGGACATTCTTTGTAATGTTTAACACAATCATCTTGCTTATAAGAGTGTGTATTGGACCGATGCCATAGATATTTTTTCTCGTCGTGATTGTTAATTTCTGATCCTAAAATTTGTTTTTAATCCAACAACAGTGGCCGTTAACAGATTCAGTTTCTTTAATGTATAATAAATCTACCTGAGGTAATTTGTTTAATCCCGCCGGTGCAAAATTCTTTGAAATCTGTAAAATAAAAAAAATTCCTCGTTTATTTTGCATTGATTTTTCTTCTTTTTCTGGTGATATTTCTTCTTCTTCTGTTTCGCGTAATATTTGAGCAACTCTTTTTAGCACCTATTTCTTCTTATGGCTCTGGATATTCGTATCGAAACACGTTGATTGTAAACTTCGTTGTAAACTTCTGGTGTATATTTTTCAAGCGCCGCCTTCAGACACCATCGTATACATTGTCGGTCTTCATTTTTAATGTTAATGTAGCGGACGTTGCGTTTGACATAAGTTTAACCATTAATTTTATTACATGTGTTAAATGTACGTGTACCAGTTTTCCTTTTATTTTTTNTGACGGCTTTTTTGGCGCTGACGTGTGCGTCGAGTTTGATGTAACTGCTTTCACCAATGTACTTAACCATGTTGATGTAAAATGTAGTTATTTCGTCGACAATATAGCCCGAACCTTTATGTACAGAACGTTTTCAATTTTTTCAATATGGTTGTTTCTGTGACCAATCATTATTTGGTCTAACGAGTCGCGTGTCGTTAAAATGAGGTTTTCCGTAGAAAATGCCCATTGTAAATATTTGTCTCAGTCGTCATCGGTCTGCGTTCTGGGTTTAAAAATCTCACGTCTGTAGCCCATTAGAGTCTAATTTGTCGACGTGAACCAATTTCTTTCCATGTGATTTTATGCGAATCAGTTTGCTATAATAGTTGAAAAATGTCATTACGTCTGCATTGGTTTGATCCGGTTTTAATTCAAAATTGACGCTATCGTTTTTAAACCTTGTGGTTTTCGTCATGTCGACGCGATCAAATTTACCATGACTTGTATAATCTTTAATTGCGCTTATGTAATCAGATCTTGTAAATCGTCCGTTTTGTCCTGTGGCTGTGACCTTTAAATGGTTTTTTTCAACAAGTTGCTTGAGGTGTTCTTTTTTGTGTCTAGTGATGTTTGTGTAATCTTTGAGATGATCTTGAGTCGCTTTGACGTAGTCTTTTTTGACATGTCAACGTTTTCTGGGTGGTGGTAAATAAACGTTGAAATCTTTGACATATTGTTTGAGACTGTCTAGCGTCCACGATCTAAGCTTATACGGTATTAATAATTGTTGACTCATCTTTATTTTTCCTACTTTATTATATACAGAATTATAATTTTTATTCATTTTTTCAACTTTTTATATATAGTCAATTTATTTAAGACAATTTCACTTTTCCATATTTATATGCAATTTTTTTAGGTTTTCTTAAGTAAGTTGTTGTCTTGTTTCAGGCTCATTTGAAACTTTCTTCTGAATGGGCCCATGCCCATCTGAACAATTGCTCGTGTGCCATAATAAATATCGTCGACACTCATAAAGGAGTTAATATCACATTTTACATTTTAATATTGTTCCAAATTCATAAATTGGTCAAATTCCCATTTATGCACCAACATTGGAGTAAGAATCTTAGTGTATTCACCGTTATTTTTTTAATGTAATTTTATAGACATACGTTTTCTGCCATATTGACTATTTGTAAAAATAGGCTTTACTACATCATGTATTTTGTCTTCACCGTTCTCCCAAATCTTACTCTCATTTAATTTTTTCAAAATGTGCTTTGGAATATTTTGGTCAGTTTTCACTTTTAACTTGATAAATTCATACACTCGTTCATTAATTTGATTTAAGACTTTTATTTCTTTTTAAAAATAATGGCATATTTGATAGCCATTAATATTTGATGGTATTTTTTCTTCTTGAAATTTATAAATTGGTTGTATACCATAACATTTTGTTTCAGGTATCATGATTACAAGTTTATATTTTTCGTCTTTGTGGAGATAATATATGCTCGTTGTAAAACCATTTGGATTTTCTATAATGAGATTCTTTGAATCAAAAGGCCCATATATGGCGTTTGAATCTTTACAATTTTGATTGAGCAATTCGTGACAGTCACTTACAATATATCTCTCATTTGCCATCGTTTTAATAAAGTAACATTTGTTTAAACCAATTGCACATTAAAAACAATTTTGAATTTAAACAACGCCAACAATTGCTCTTGTATTTTCCATGTATACAAAAGTAGCTTTGTGGCAATCGTTGCATCTTTGATTTGTTTTTCCGTGTGAGCAAACGGGTCGACACTCTAGACTTGTATACTTATCTTTTTTAGGTTCGCAGTTTTGCCAATTGCCATCTGTTTAAATTCAGTAATGTGTTTGCAACGATGGCACCGTTGGCAACATTTGGTTTCTTGAGTTGTTGACATACTTATTAATAATATACTTTATTATTTAAATATCATTTATTTAAGAAAAAATAGTATTCTGCATTTCTTTATTGTTCCCGCGCCTGCGACATAATATGCCGTGGGAAAAACTTTCTACATAATAGGCCGTGGGGGAAGTCCCACTATTTCTACGCTTGCTTGGGGTGGACTTTTTACGCTTGGTTGGGGAGGACTTTCTACGCTTGGTTGGTTTGGGAATTCCAGTTTTTGGGGGGATTCCCCTTATTCGGTTTGGGATTCCACTTTTGGGGGGATTCCCCTAAAACCCCGAGGGGAATCCCATTTTGGTCCAGCTTCCCCATTTCTAATACTACTAGCAGTTCTGTCTTTACTTTGAGTAAGAATGCATTCGGTATTTGCCATTGTGCAAAGCTTTAAGCTGTTTGGTTTGCTGAATACACAGATATGCTCTGAGAATACCTTCTATCACAAATTTTGTTCTAAGCATATATTTTGCGATAAAATTGCAGTGAGATTTTTTAGAAGCCGGTTTGAACCCTTTTTTTTCATTGACACCTTTATCTGAATTTATGTCGTTTTTGGCAGCTAAATTTCTCGTGATATGCTTTTTGAATTGTGCCAAATGTTGTTCATATAGTTTGTATTTTGGGGGTGTGCATAATAATGTTGGGATAGGGTAGGTGGGGGTGGCAGTTCTACTTAACTCAAGCAAGTCATGCGAAAGCAGAAAAATAAACTGCTAAACTAGTTTTGTGGCCTGTTTTGATGAAAGACCCCCCAATCCCCAAGCATCACCCCCAAAAAAAAATTTGACAAAGAGGTTGGTATCCAAACACTTTAAAGGGTAGGCTACGATCTTTAAATCTTAGAAAAGATATTAGAGGGCATGAAACTAGTAGGCAAAGCTGTAAGTTCTGTGATACACAGGCTTCGCGTACCATGTCCGTCAGCGCTCCAAAATTTTGAGGTTTTTATGTGAGCAGCGCCCTCTCTTGACTTGACTCAGCGGCCTGAGCTTACATGTACATGTACATGTATATATGTCGTCGCATGCTTGTCACGCATGCTGCTCTGGGCAGGCGTATGAAGTGTGTGGCCGGCCAGCATTTGGCATCATTGCGACCATCACCATCACGAACACAGGCTTAACTTTTGTTTGAGTACCGTACTGTATCTAAAGTGAGTATGAAATGATTTTATGTGTAAAGAACGTGGCATTTTTCTCCAAATTCTGAATGGTTTTTCATGAATATATCAATATTTTCACTGCAGAATTTTAACTCCGTAGGACATTTTATTGCTTTGCTCTCAGAGAGGGTAATAACTTGGCTTGAGAAAGGTACATGTAATTACTAAATTAGGCCCAGGGGTAGTGAGCCTAGTCACCAAGTTGACCAGAGTGGATAAACTTTACAACCATGGAGAAATAAGAACATAAGTGACCATTTTTAGTTTGCTAAAAACTGTTTTGTTGAATGTGAATCGTCTGGAAACCAGGAAAGGTCTGTGTTTGTTCAGAATCACTCTTGGGACGGTGTCTTTAGGCCTACATGCATAATCATGGAGGTCTTTTCCTACCTCCATCATGCATGTACATGTACGTACATGCACTCTAACAGTAACAAGTACTTAGTGGCCACAACTGACTGTCAGATAAGTCAGGTAACACATTAACCCATAACAAATGCAATATACTCCTGGGAAAGTGATCAATGAGTATGGAATATTTTTGTTGCCAAGGGTTATGTGGTAGAATCCCAGTACATACTGTACAGTGTATGTGGCCAACTTCGACTTTCACTTGACTTTCCTCACATGGTACACCCCATGGTTCGTTGTCCTCTGTGCTCCAATGAAACATGAATATTGAAGACAAATTGAGACTTGGAAGCAGTGTGGTAACTATTGCTTTCTTTGCCGGATGTTTGAGAAAACTTTGATATCGTATTATTGTGTGGAAATTGAGGGAAATTATTACTCCAAGAAGATACTAGAGGTGAAAAAACCAAGTATACCAAGTTAGGGGGACAGTGATCACGTGATGTGATTGATTGGGTGTTATCATAATCAAGGGAAGATACTGTAGTGAATCTTGTCGAACCCAAAGAACATGTACATGTAGGTAAAGTTGGAGCACTTCACAAATACACACAGAAATTTTGGAATAAAAAATGTACTTACATGTACCAATAAACAAGAAACACCACTCTGTCTTCTGACAGATGAGGAAATTTCTGAACAGGTTAGTGAGAACTCAGAAAATCCCGATAAAATTTGTGTACTATCTTGATGCTATATTGCAGTATTCTCATTTCACAGTCACAACGCATCATTGCATCCCTTAAAAACCTTTTGAATTTCCTTGTTTTGGAATTAATCTGTACTCTGCCTGTCCTCTTTGTCATCCAACACTTGCCACATTTATTTCCTTCCCTGACAAGTTTTGTCACACTTTCGTCAATGAAGTCCAGACTCCAGATGGTCATTAACATTTCATGGGTCATCTTGATTACTGACAGATCGCCTTGCAATGAATCTGCCGGCCAAGATCACAGTTCAGCAAGCTTGGCAAGCATGGCGCAGTCTGAACGGCCTGTTTGCAGTCTACAAACCGTCCGGCTTGCCTCCAGTTGTTGTCAAGAAAATGATACAGAGCGCACTTATTGAAGGTGATGATCTTAGGACGATCACTAATGTGGCCAGTGGCTATAGCCATTTCTCATAGAGACGTGTTGTTGCTAGCCATAGCCACTTAGTTCAGACAAGGCCTCATACATGTAGTAAATCATATCAGTATGTTCTCTGCAGGTAAAGACCAAGTGTCTATCAAGTGTTTTTGATTGTCCCTTTCCCCCCCCCCCCCGAGTTTTCTTTGTAATAATACTCTGTGGGATGAGCACTCTTGTTGGGGCGCACGGTCATACTAATGTTGCTATAGCATCGTGAAGAAGGCATCATTGTTCCTGGAATAGAACATTTTCCCATAGATTGACCGCAAGCACTTACATGTACCACTGTTAAGCAAAGCATGTACGCTGTACACTGGGTGATATGCATATGTGAAATACATACAACAAATTTTTCATCTGTATGTGTACAAACCCTTTAGATTTGTATATGAGATTGCTCTCACTGGTTCTTGTGCATGCAGGGTGAAGTACACACAACAAATTGTTGTCTGAATGTGCATATACTTCAGATTCTGTGATAGTTTGGCATGAAGAGGAGATGATAGATTTTCATCTGTATGTGCATAAATCCTTGAGATCTACATGCATGTAAATTTGCCCTCAATGTTTCTTGTACATACATTGTGGTGTACACATAGTAATTTTCACTTGAATGCACACAAACCGGAGAGTTGACACAGTTTTTTTGTGGGTATGGCTTGAAGAGGATGCAGTGGATTTTCATTGAGTCTGAATGTTGTCACAACCCTGACATATACATGGACATGTACATATGTTGTGTGTGAGTATAAGTCATATGGCATCAACGGCATTCAGTTATTGGCTCTATAAAGCTTTGTACATGTAGAAGTTCAGTGTCGACAGTTTTGGTGCGAATTTGTCAATGTTGTCTTCCAGATTTAAACAAACTTGAACAGCGCCCACAGAAGTCCCTCGTCAAGGTCATTCAAGATGTAGCGAGGATCGACGAGGACCCTAATGCTCTGACGGCAGTGCAGGTTCCTAGCTTTGCTGACCATGTACTGGTCAGGGGGCCTCTGTACACAGACATTAAGGTTGTCGTGGCTTCAGGAGGGCTGGATAAGAAAATGTCTGGTGTTATGGGTATGTGCTTTTCAAGCCATTCATTGTTTGAAGAACAAAGTGTCAGAAGCACATTGAATTTCTGTGCGTAAATTGTACCATGGAGTTTTATTTCAAGAGGCACACAATAGAAGACTTATTCAGTGATGTATTTTCAGTCTGATTTTATTGGCCTTTTGTGGTAGTCAGTTGGGACAAGTGAAATAAAATCTGTTTCTCTTGTGACTTTTTGTTACCGTCTTTCTGCATCAATAAATTAGGTCCTTCGCAATGAAACACAACCTTAGAATTTAAACTTGACCACAGAGCACATTGCAGAATGTCCTATCAGGTTGTTGTAAATGGGTTATCGTAGATAGAATTCATACTCGCGAGTTTACTCGTTGGTGCGTGAACCTACATGTAGCTGGCTTCCCTCTGATCTGCTGTGCATCTTGTGATTGTTTTTTTATTCTTTAACAGTGCTAGCTGTCAAGCATGGCACCAAGGACATTGACACGTACCATGCATCACGAATACCTAAAACCTACACGGTCAAAGGCCAGTTTGGTTTTGCCACGGACAGCCACGATGCTGAGGGAAAAATCTGGCAGAAATCCACCTACCGTGAGTGAGATTTGTATCAGTTTGTCAGCCTTACAGACACTGTAGGTTACATTCCTTGCTTTGTTGGCACTGTGCGTCCCCAGTTTACGCCCTCTGTGGTTCTCTCGCAAAACAATTATGAAAGCTTGAACTGCGCCATTTTCTCTTCAGATATCAAAGCAATTTTTTCAAAGAAGGATTTCATCCACCCACACAAGCAAAGGGTATACCTCAGCTATCATTCTGGTTTTGTAAGCACTTACATGTAGCCGTTAAATATGGAAGAAGAAGTGATTGCAGCATGGTATCTTGCTTGAGAACACAAGCACAAGAAGGGCCAAGCTTGGTTGAAATTCCTAATCTGTTGCCTTTTGCACCATGCAGGTGTTTAAATTGATGTAAAAAGGTGATTTTGTCCTCAATCAACAGCATGACTATGGCATAGGAAAGGAGCTTTCATTATAATATGCTTTTAAAGCATGCAAACAAACACTTTGTCCAAAACAAAAGCATAAAAATGTTAACCACTTCCTGCCGGGGATTCCGGTACCGGACACGTATGCTTATATGCGTGGCCGGGGTTGGACAAAGGGAACTGGGCCTTGTAACAAAAGACTGTACTTGGAACAAAAGACTAGGCTGCTGGGCATTACCGACATTTTTTCACTCTTAAAAGTGGAGATAATCCAGCCTTGTTTTGAAACAGTATACCATGGTTTGGGGGGGCATTTAGAGTGAGCGGATTACCACCGGGGACAAAAGTGCTCCACCACCGCAGCGATGAGCCACACAGCACCGGTGCATGCTAATCTGGCCCCTATTGAAAAGAGGTCAGCAGCGCACTGTACCAGGTTCGTGAGCAAAAGGAAGTTATATAACACTGTTCAATCTGGGCTCTTTTTACAAGGCTGCAGGCCTGGCTGAAATATTTGTGTGTCAATACATTTTATCTGTCAGGCTAGAGTGGCCACCAGACAGTAGTTTGTGTGGGCGTAAACGTCCATTAAATGAAGACAGGGATTTTTAAAGAATTTTGAAAACAGAAAAAAATGATAATTATCCCGCCCCAGCATCATCAACATTGATAACTGCCACTGGCACAAATTGGTTAAAACCCTTCTTGAAAAGATTGTGATTAAATTTTGAATTCCAGATCATGTGACTCAGGAGAAGTTTGACCGAGTCATATCCAACCTGCAGAGGAGTCACCAGAAGGCCATGCTCAGGTCGGTGGAGTGTAGGTCTCACCCTGGCTGAATCTACCAAGTGGCCTAGAGAATTAAGAAAATGGATATGGGCAAATAACAGTACAGAAATAAAGTTGATAAGTTTGCTGCCAACCTCATTTATATGTAGCCAAGTGAAAGTATTTTAGAAAAGAAATTAAACGCAGCAGAAAAGTTGGTCCTAGTCATGGCAGGTTAATTAGTGGCCCATTTGCTCTTTTTAATGTCATTACTTTACCATTCAGTCGCTAATATATTAAAGTACACATATATGCCTACCAGTACTTAAGCTCAAGGTGCTACCGGTACCTTGGTTGTCATTGTGTTGCCCATAAACATTCCTAAAAGCCATCTCAGCTCCCCTGGGTGTGTACAGCTAAATGCTATAAATGGAAATCGGTCATAACTATCTTTACCATCACAAGTATCCATTCAAACCCTTGGGTGCAGAGAGGTGGGTGGAGAGAGGCCGGTGGGGTAAAGTGACTTGCCCAAGGACACACCGTACTCTGGATAGAAATTCCAGGTCTGATGTTTGGAAAGTGTAGTCCCTAACTACTAGGTCACACATCTCCACTCAAAATTGAATCACAGGTCATTCAAACATCGTCCAGGCTCAAGGGTGTTATTGATCTCTGTCATGGGGCAACCACCTTGCTTTTCTACTATTCAAAGCAATGTAACGAAACTAAGGCTGGAAGGGAAAATAGTCTGTACCCTTTTATTAACATAAGAAGTTTTACCATTACCAGTGGGTCTGTAGGGAACAAGACAAACATTGCACCATCATGATAAAGGTCTGTTGAGCTAGGTTTTAGCTGAAGCACTGTGAAGGAAATTGGTGCTTGAAGTCAAAAACCACGCAAGAGCTGCTGTGACCAAATACTTCTACATAGTGTTACATTTTGGAAAATCTGGCCATGTTATCTTGGACAAAAATGAACAAGCCTCATTTTGTTATATCCCTGCAGCAATTCTGGGGTGGACCTTCAGAGCCAGGAGGCTTATGAGCTGGCCAGCCGAGGTCTTCTTCGGCCGTTCGGTAGCAAAATACCCCCGCTCCTGCTGGACATCCGATGCATACAGTTTGCGCCGCCGGATTTTGAGCTTGGTAAGATTTTTTATCACAGAAACATTGGTCTTGCCATGGATACAGGCACTGTTAGGTGTAACCCTAATATAAATCCAGTCCTCGCCCTACAGTTTCCTCTATTCTTAAACCTGCATTTTACTCCTTTTTTAAAACCCCAACCTTCATATTTACCCTGTGTGTTGTCAGGATTTTTTAACCAGTGTGTGTGTGGTGTGGTTAAAGAACTTTATATTTATTTTTAGTATCATTTCTTAAAGAAGAATATTAAAATGACTGAAATTTGCCTTAGGTTGTTGAAATAAATAACCTGGTGTCTAATGTATCCTCACCGTTGATCTTTGCATCAGTATTTTAGGGATATTCCAGGGCCTTTTATAAGATGTTTAACTGGTGAATCAAATTTGCTGAGTGCAATACCACCACATTATCTCGGTGAGGACTTTTTCCCAAACTGCAAATGAATGCATTGCATAGCTTGAAAGCAACAAGTGCCTTCAACTGTCAGGGAATGAACATAGACAGGTTGAACCGGTATGCATGAGTGCTGAAAAGAACAAGCCTAGGAAAAAAAATTAATAAATTAAGAAGAAAGGAGGTGAAAGTCCCCAATTTGCTTCAAAACACCTCGGAATGACCGCCTTTCACTATTAATGGTCTGTTGATTTGCCGTTAATGAGAGCTTTGCCTCTCCAGAAATAACCTTTGCGCCCCCCCTTGTGGGACACACCCAGGTGATGCTCATGCCATCATGTGGATGCATATCATAAATTTGTGTGTTTACATTCAATCTGTTATAGTAGAAAATTCCTTTCGTGGCCCTTCGACCCCTTTAACCACTTCCTGCCGGGTGAAATTTGCATATGCAGCATGAGTTTCGAGGCGACTTTCAAGATTTTTCAAAATTCTTTAAAAATTCATAACTCCATTTACTGGATGCTTACACCCACGCGAATGGTGGCTACTCTAATCTGACAGGCAACCTCCATTGACGCCTGGCTATTGCAGCCCAGTAAAGAGAGCCCACAATAGTGCGGTGTTACGGAATTTCCTTTGTTCCCAAAATTGGCCCAGTGCATTGCTGAATGGCTGTGGTGTCTTTTCAAATGCGGCCAGATTAGCGTGCAGCGGCGCTGTATCGCTCATTGCTGGAGTGCTGGAGCACTTTTGTCCCTGCTGATAATCCGCTGGCACTGAATGCTGCAAACAGTGGTATACTGTTCCAAGACAATGATGGATTACCTCCGCTAATGCCAGCAGCTTGGTCTGTTGTTCTGAGTACGGTCTTTTGTTACAAGGCCCAGCTCCTTTGTCCGATTTTGGGCACCCCGGCTATGCGTACAAACCCCAAGGTCTCCAGTACTGGGAACCCCGGCACCGAGTGGTTAAATCAATGCTTTCTCTTTTGTAGAAATTGAGTGCGTCAAGGAGTCTTCCCAGTACCTCCGCAAGATTGTCCATGACCTGGCGCAGGACATGAAGACCTGCGCTGTGGCTACTCAGGTCCGCCGGACGCGAGACGGTCCCTTCACCGTAGAGCACGCTTTGCTCAGGAAACACTGGAGTCTGCCTTACATCGCCGAGGCCCTTCGAGTTGGCCGACCACTGGTCAAAGAGGCATTGTGCCAGACCAGGACCCAGATAGAGGGAGTCCTAGAAGAAGTGAGGTGATGGTTGCAAAGATATGGGAAAACATTGTGACGGTCTCTAGGAGACAGAGATGGCGGCATGGCAGTAATGGAACTTCAATGAAGTCGTGCTGCTAAAGTTCCACTAAAAACAGATGGGAATTTGTGCAATGTAGTAATGAATCTTTTGGGGACAACAGGCCTAGACCTTTACTACAGCGAAGCTACAGAGTCTTTACTAGAAAAAATGAGACGGGTTGTAGGGATGACTGAGTCTACATTGTTCACCCCACAATGCCTGTTTCAACAGGAAGGAATAATGTTCTTCAGCGTTTGGTGCAGAGCATGCATGACCAAGTTTCACTTGACCTGAACCTTCAAATTCCCTCCAATCAGGAACCAGAGAGGGCGACATTCTTCACTGGGGAACTCACCTCGTGTGTACGCTAGTCTAAGCAGATGCCATCAGTCATTTGTGTTTGAGTATGGGCCCCGAACTGAACCAAGAAAGGGGTGTTCTTTTCTCTAGCAATGGAGGCTCCTTTGGAAGGAACTTTTCTTCACTAGTTTACGAACGACTATGAGAGGCATACATTGCATGCGCGTCGCTACCAACGAAACGAACACTCCCAACCATCATGGCTCTTTCCAACTGGCGAGGGGGTGCTGTTGCTCAAGACGGTTACGGTCCCTGCCTGAGCACTGGGCACATGCACGAGCCTGGTCAGAAAATTTCTGCCATCCTACACAGTGGCCTCCACCTCACTGATCACACCACCATTGCATGAGGCAAGCATTTGGTAATATCAACCATACACTCTGCATTGTAAATGAGAGGTGTTTATTTTTACCAGAGATTATCGTGCTGCTCCAGCCCTAGGCGTGCAAAGACACAATAAATAGAAAGCCAGCAATTAATAACCAAGATGTCCAAGTCTTTCTTGTGAGTTTAATTCCTGACCCACAACCACTGCTCCCTTCCGACATACCACTCATACATTTTTCTCCATGGAAAAAATTATTAACAAAACTAGGAATGTGTAGGAAAAATTCTTTGGTGATTTTTTTATATCCAGCAAGAAATGAGACTGAGGGGTACCCCCAACACGTCCAATCGCTATACACACTCTAGACTTTTGTTACCTAACACATCCCCCAGATGTCTGAAAAGAATTCGTCAGATCCAGTGAGACAATGACCAACACAAAGCAGGGGGGGTTCTCTGTCTCATATCTTGCTTCATGTGGTTTTTAGAACCAGTGAATATTGAAATAAACTTTCGTATTGAAATGTTCTAAAATGGTCTCTCCTCAAATTTAACCATTTGTAACACAAGCAATTGTAATGAAGCCACAGCAATGTAATTATTAAGCCTCAAATGTTAACATTATTATTAAATACTATACATGTTAATCATTCTAAAAGTAAGCATTTGCACTTTTCCTAATGCTGTTTCACAACCATCCAGCTTATACAATTCAAAGTAACCTTTCTTGAAGAGTATCTTGACAAGATATTTAAAAATATATTAATGTGTATTCCAAATAATTGGCCAGTTTTGAGTGCCCAGTAATATACATTGCTTTGAAGTGAAAATTTCATGAAATTTATATGTGAAATTTGCATAAAACTTATACTCCTTCACAAGGGATCATCATACACATATATGGGAAGTAAAATATTTCCATCTAGAAAACTACAGTTTGGAAGTGTTTAACATGTGATGAGATACGGTATTACATATAACAAGAGCCAAAGGAATGTAAAATCATGTCAGTTTAATCCCCCCCCTAAAATACACTGATAAAAATCAGTACCATATTGCCAATAATTAGTACAGGAATGTGATCAGACCTTTGGAGACGAAATTCAAGAGTTCTTGTTAAGGTTTATCTCTAGTGTGAGTGATAAACGATGACACAGAATTCAACACAGCATTGGCATCCGTATGATCATTTTCATGTACATGTGAAGTACGCTGTACATGGATGCATTGCAACAATGGCTTTGACAAATGTCAGACTCAATTTATTGGTTCTTTTAAGTACTCTTGTAGTATTCAAAATTTGTATTTCAATGTCAAAGACAACTTTTACATCAGAAGATGGCCGAAGAAAGAATCACTTACAAAAAATAGTTCTTTATACAGACACCTTACCGGTGTGTGTTCTGGAAGCACACTGTGACAAATGGCATTTTATACATTACATTGGGATGAACTCATATGACAATTTGTTCACAATTCTGTTTGATTGACTGATCACATGGTATTGTCTTCAGTTTTCAGTCATCAGAACGATCCATATTTGTAAAAGTATTGCTCATTCCTGTACGTCTATGAAAACATGACACATTTAGCTTAAATAAATTTTAAAAAAAGTAACAGACGAACATGGAAATGCACAATCGATGGTAACTTCTTTTGACTATAAGTTAATCTTTAATTTGCATTATTAAAATAAGCCACCGTACATAATAAAAAAGCACCTAATTTTAATGTGTATAATGCTGCCAGTATAAAAATTTTGAAATTCTTTAAAACCTCTGCACTGCTACACGCGTAGTTTACCCACACTATAACATCTCCACTGGCTATCAAGTTGTCTTGTACAATACACAATGTCCATCGACCTTGTCTGGGACGTTTTGTTTTTTGGGAGAATGACATAATCTCTGTAACACTGACAAGTATCAAAATGCATTTCAAAGAAATTGAACAATTCTGCCAACCAATCAAGCAGTGTTGTGGTCAAGACCTCTTTCGGAGTTTCTGAGAAGTTGGGAACATTCTGCATTCTGTTAGACCGTCCCCAGTGAGACTCTGGCTCTCCACTGGAACTGGCAACCTGGGCCAATTTCATAGAGCTGCTTAAGCACAAAATTTGCCTAAGCATGAAAAAAACCTTGCTTGACAAATCAGGTTACCAGCCAAAACTTCTTGTGATGTATATTGATTTGGAATGGTATTCGCCTGTCTTTTGGTTAGCATGACAATCACAGAGTTTGAGCTGGTAACCTTTGTTTTCTAAGCAAGGATTTTGTGCTTAAGCAGCTCTATGAAATTGGCCCCTGCACGAAAGACAACCTGTATGCAGAACAATCATAAACACGAAGTTACCCTCATCTACCACAGTATTGGAATATGTCCCATGATCAATGCTGTTTCTAACCATCTGCATATAGACAAAGTGGTGTGACCCAATTCGCTCAGAGCGGAACAAATGAGGGTGTGCTTTTTAGTACTCACTGCATAAGGCGCACAAGTATATTTGCGTTTGACGTTGGAGCGCACTGAGTACGTGCAACTAAAATTCTGGCTTGTATAGCCTTTGTGCACACGCAGAACGCATGCAAGAACCCACTTGTAACTACCTGTCTCTCTTTTGCCGATTGGGGGTGCACTTCAGCTTGGGGTTGATTGGGAATGGTCCAGTGGGGAACACAGTGTTTATTCCAGATGGACTGTTCCACTGGAACGTTGTGTTCTCAGTGGAACGGCCACACTTTCTGGAATGAGAATGTGGCATTCAACAGGAAACCTTCAGAGTGTTCCGAATGATGAGACGCTACCTTAAGACCACGAGACCATTACAAGACCTGCCAGACTGAACTTGGGTTAGGAGCTATTCAAATGAATTGCCAGAAAAGTATTCGTTAATCATTGTTCAGCCCAATCATGACTTGTGAATGGTTTTGTGTCTTGTGATGCTCTCGACTGCAGCACTGTGATCAAAAGATCAAACAAAATCGGCGGATTAATTTATCTATTTTATACAGGGGTTTGCCTTTACACTTGTATGCATATTCAGACTGTATTCTCAGTGCACTCTGTGGCTTGTTGAAAAAGAAAAAATCACAAGCTTGCTTTATAGAACCCACGACTTCTTGCTTAGTATTGTAGGCATCTTTATCACTGAGGTTGCCAGAACAGGTGGCTGGCTCAAATCCAATGCAGCAGCGGTTACCGCAATAAGTCAGTGATATTAATTTGGCTTTGCGTCAGGGATATCATTTTACCTACATATGTGATCTCATCAGAATATGAGCTTCCGTGCCTATTATTGTATATATGAAACAGGGGCTACAGTTGTACAGCGTTTGGTAATAGGATGAAGCTAGTCAGGGGTTATCCTTGCATCTGGAAAATTAATACCAACATCTACTCCAATTTAAACCGTACGTAAAATGGAAATGTCTCGCCTTAACTTCAAAATCAACTGATCATGCATATTGACGGGGAAAAAAAAGCAAACACAAAAATCTCACACTTTCTAGTATTTGGTACCAAGACGTTCACATAAAAGTGAAAAAAAAAAAGTGAAGCTTCCAGCTTCCATATACACCTGCTCGTGTTTAGTTATATTCACTTAGCATGAAATGTTAAAGAAGCTAACAAGCTTTGAATAAATACGTTACATTTTTACAAACTTGGGGCTACAGACTAGCTCTAAATTACAAAAATAACGGTTAAAAAATACTCCAGATCTATCTTAAGATAACATGTACATTACACCTTTGTACACTGTATTTGCTATAGTAAGATGCACTTCACTGTGCTGAAAACATTCAGTCAAATTTCAGAGCCTCTGGCAGACTTTCCAGTCAAGTTGAAAGGGAATGTTTCTACCAACTATGTACCCAAATCCTTCTGGCAAACTAACTATGCTTCACTTAGATTTGCACAGCCTTCAGTTATTCCCCCTGTGCTTTGATACTCGTTCAATGGACCTTTGCCATGAAATATGCAAATTGGATGGGCGCATGCGCACTACTACCACTGGTTGGCAAGTGCAGCCATCAATGCTGTCAGAAGCGTAGGCGAGCTGCTAGTAACCCGAGGTTGGAAAGTAAGAGTTCCTTGTTTTTAAGTTTGGCACTCATGTCAAACTACACTAGCACAGAAATGGTGATAGTGACGTGAATGGAGATTTGTATTGTTACGTCAAAGATTTAAGCAAGTTTGCCAACCAGTGGTACTAATGTGCATGCACCTGCCTTATTTGCATATTTCATGGGAAAGTTCCATTGTAACTGCATTTAATTTGATACTCATATGACTTCTTGAACTTACTTGGGCCTGGCCCAAGTATCCAATCTGCCAAAGCAGTCACTTGCGAAGTATCCCACAATGCAGTGCAAACCACGGCAGCTTAGTCGGACAATGCAATGGAATGCTGACACTGTTTTTAATAGCTCACAAATATTGTTGCACGTGGTGGTAATTTGGCTCAAGTCAAGGAAGTTCTGAAAAAGGAGGGCAAGAAATGTGATTCAGGGAACTAGGGCTGCATGGAGCCACTCAGGAGACTTCGTAGATGGTTGGCGAGGGAGTATCACGATGGTATGGAGCTGCTGAGGACCTGTACGGCTGACTTGGGTAAGCGTCCCCGCTTGCCTCCATACTCTCCCTCCAGTACCCCACGGCTGACTGTAAGAAAAGTCACAAGGTTGCTAAAAATTGAACAGGTTATCTAACAGATAGGGAAAGGTAAAATAAAGTAGGATTTACAGGCATTGCTAAAACCAAGCCTATAAACTTCATTGCTTGTTATTTCTGCTGTGGATTGCAAGTCCCACCATATTGTTGAGGATGCTGTGGGGATCCTGAAAGGTTACAGCTCGATTCAAGTTTTCCTTGCACCAAAATCTTCATTTGACGGATATTTTGGCCTCATGAACACCAAGGAATACAGAAGTGCTTTGCTGTAACATTGGGGGAGTTGCCTTGAATGACAGCTGGTCCCCCAAAACTCAGGCCAAGTTCAAGCAGTGACTCATTTGTTGATAACTGGTCAATTGTTTTTTGATAACTATACACAGGGTATGTCCTGGGCACCCGGAAAAAATCAAGTGGCAGTTGCGTAATGGTAGACACTGGTTAACTTCACCTGAGGTGAACCAGGGATCTGTTCACCAGGTGAACAGTGATCTGGCCTAAATTAAAATTCTGGCCCAAGTCTGAATATTCAGAGGTGACAAGTTGAGATGATGTTTTGAGTTCTACACAGAAGCTCATCAATGGTTAGAATTTTCGCCCTCCATCAAATCTTGCGACTTGTTTTGCTCTAATGAAGGTATATTCAGGGAGTCTCTCTAAACTGTAAGAAACACACACTGTAATATTGACCGGGATTCTCAAATGGGCCAAGAAACAACTGGAACTTCTGTTCAATCAGCTTTCCCTCATTCACAGCATCAGGTTAGTCATGCCTCGCCAAGTTATTTTGCAGTTATTTGTTAAAGCATGCAGAGCAGAAACGACATGAAAATATATTTATGCAGAATGTCTGACGTGCTATGGTATTTGAACGCAAGCTAATACTGAAAAAGATGCAAAAACTCAACCACTTAACACTAGATGTTGTGACTTCCTCTGTGAAAATGAGCAATGTTGGGCATTTAAAAAGTGGTTGGAGTTCGCACAAGGATTGATATGTATTCTAAACATGGTTCTATTTTTTTAGAGCTCTGTGTATTTGGTGGATAACACTCTCAATATAATCAACTATCAAGGTAAAATGTACCCTTCAGCTAAAGCCACAAAATTGGGCACAAACGCAAAACATCTAAATACCCCTGCTTAAATCTGCCTTATTTTTTAGTTAAACTTGGTGACATTACTGGAGTGTTATGTGTTTACTGGGATCTTTTTTTTAAGGAATGGGGCACTGAAAAATGTTCACAAACACGAGACCAAACAAAGTGAAATTTAGGACCTGAGAAACTGAAAACAATGCGCAATCTGGCTCATTTTCACTAAGCAAGTCACAATTCTGCCAGCTTAATGACCTTCTCGGCACTGTCTAATGATCTCCCCCTTGCTGAAGCTCAGCTCTTGACCTCTGCCGATGTAGCTCTCCAGCGCCACCATGTACTCTATCACACCATGCTGAGGGGGGAGATGTTAGTTACATTGGTTAGAGGGATCAAGCAAAATAAAAGCACAAATGGGTTACCAGGAGGTGAGCGTAGCAAGCACCAGGGAACAAATGAACTTCTACAGCAAAACGAAAAAGCATCTGCACAATGTGATCTGAATCTGGAATTGAATGCAGTTTCTTGGATGACGTATTTTTCAAGGCATCATTCCAGCATCGAGAAGCCTGGTTTAGCTTTTACAAAGTGATGGGCATGGGCATTGCCAAAACTTTTCCCGGAGGGGGGGGAGGGGAAGAGGAGCATCCAATGTCCCCCCCTTCCCTTCAACACGCATGGTGATATACGTAGGTTGTTGCCTAGTAAAACTTGCATACATCTTCATAGTGACAATGCAGTCTCCACATTCGCACTGTCAGAATAAATTCCTGCAGCATTTTTATGAGGAACTTTCCTAACCCCTCCCATATCCACAACTGCGATGGAACCCAATGACCCATTTCCCTGTGCTAAGATTTCAGGGGAATCAAGCTCTTGTGTAAACATGGTAAAGTACCAGGGCCCTGGTCTCTGCCTTCTGCAATCCTGAAAAGACATCCAACACCCAAAGATTTTGAAGGAACTATGCATTTAAAACTGAAGTGTTGAATCTAACATGTGAATGTTGTCAGTGACAACACTTGGAAAATCTAGCATGAAGTTCAAATCCAATATTTAAACTGTAATAATTCAACATCTACATGTACACATGTATGATGCTGATTAATTCAGGAAAACAGTTTGTAAGATGGTGAATAAAGTGTTGAATGAAACACTGGATTTAAGATTTAAAATGTTGGATTTAACATTTCAAAGGCTGTATTAAAACAATCACTGGATTGAAACCTCTTAAAAGTATAGTCACTGACCAAAAGAATTTCAGTGTTGGATCCAACACTTCAGTTTTTGAGGGGGGTTAAACTGGAACTCAAACAGTTGTCACATTGGTGCAAATCTGTCTATTTCCAAGGATATGGAAGACTATGCACTGATGCATCAGCATATCTGTCTATTTCCAAGGTGTATATCTGACTATGCAGGGAGACTTTTCTCTACTTCTCATGCATTCCCTCAGCAAACTTAGAACTTCACTGCACTAAATTCACAAGGAACCTACAGCCATTTAAAAAACGGTAATAAGGCCAGACTTGAAGTCCCTTTCCCATTTAAGTCTAAAAATAAGATGGTACAGTATGAAAAATGTCTACATCAATGTTATGTCAACAGCACTGCTAGGAATACTGGTCTTTGGATATAGGCAGGTAAGAAAATGAAATATTCCGTCTCATTTGAAAGGCTTGAGTTTTAAGATCATTCCTGGCTTTCATTGCAGCTACAAGACTGATCATTTTTGTTGTTCAGTGATCATGTCAACCACTGAGGGATGTTTGTCCCAGCAACCAATGCAAAAAAATGTATATTCTGGATACCAGGCAGTTGTCTACTGGCTGCTGTATGATCTCTGACAGAACTGGACCATACTTAGTCAACTGAGATAATGGGTCTGACTACAGCTCTGAATCTGAAGCACGCAGCAATGTCTAACAAACCACCATCAAGGCAAGCAGTTTGTATCTCCTTATCTCTGCTGTGCAAAAGACTGCGATGTTTGGCTTTTTAGGAAGCATTTCTTTCCCAATTTCTACAACAACCGGTTTGTGATAGGAAGTTTGGGGCTTTCCAAATAAAAGCTGCATGTAGACTTTCCTCCATGCAACATGCACTTCTACATCAGCATATGCACTTATTTAAAATTATCTAAGAGGAAGTTTGAAAATCGGGGGAAACAGGCAGTGTCATCAATATGTATCTTTTCAATGCAAGCCATGCACAAGCAGGCATTTTATTTCAAATGTTTTATAATATGGCTAAAAGGAACAAACAGTGCATGATTTTCGAATTCCAGTAGCAAGTGTTGCAGGTTTTGTTAAGTATCGCATGCCTCCAAAATGCGGTAAGGACAATTCACTGCAATAGAGAATTGTGAGTAAACAGTACATATGAGTTACTTACGTGTAAGTTTACTTCAAAGAATTACTGTAACAACATAAAAGTATAAAACAAAAATGGTTTCAGTTAGCTCATTAGTAACAAAAGAAAGATGGAATGGATGGTGATTCTTGCTGGAAAATAGAGACTGGAATATGACTTGACGTACCTGGGAGCTACTGCTGTTGCCTGCTAAGGCTCTTCTTTCTTGGAGTTCCTGTGATATCTTCCTGGCTACTCCAGGGCTCCGTCCATTGGCATCTCGCACTCCTGTCATCATCTGCGTGGCGCCGACTTTCCCTGGGGGAGGTGGGGGCACGGGGGCCTTGGGAGGCACTGGACTGACCAGCTGCCTCTTCTGCTCATTGGGGGCGTCAGTCGGCACTGGGGGCGGGGTCCTGTTAGGCAACCCGGGACTCAGCCGGTTTGGGGAAGGGGGCACAGGCTTGCCAGGCGGGGTTCGCCGAGCGGCCACGGGGCTGTTACGGTTGGGCGAGGGCGGTACAGGTCTTCCCGGTGGTACAGGGCTGATACGGCGCTGACGTACTGCACTTGAGCTGCTCTGCTCCTCAGTCTCAAGAGAGTCGGGCAGCACTGGGAGAGGCTTGTTCGGGTCGAAGGGGGGGCTGACTTTTCTCTGGCGGTCTGGGTAGGGAGGGTCTGCATGACCGTTCTCCGCAACAGGTGGTGGAGGAGGCATGCGGCGTGGGATGGTGCTGTGGTCCCTCTCATCGGCAGTTGACGGCAGGGGCGGGACGGGTCGGCTTGGCAGCCCAGGGCTCGGCAAGGGGTCATCCTGAAAGTCAGGCCTGCTTAAGCTTGTGGATCGGGGGGGCACAGGGGCTGGTTCATCCTGGCTGGCAACCGAGGGTGTGCTGGCTGAGAAAGGTGGTGTCGGGCGGCCGGAGTGGCTTGGGGGGCCTGGCAGGGACTTTCGGGGAGGTTGCGGCAGGGATTGGGGTGGGGGGCCAGGAAGGGACCTCCGTGGGGGCTTGTCATCCTTGGGCTTGCTGGCCTGTAAATGGGGAGACAGGGGCTGGGTGGAGGGGGTCATCGGAAGGTAGAATTCTTCTGAGTTATCTGGGGATGTCTGTTATTCAGATGGGATGCAAAGCATTAGCAACACAACCTAAGATCAAGAGTTGCAGGCAATGTTGAATGCACAGTTTCTAGAAAATAGTCACTTCTGAATGCTTGTTTGATTTCTGTGTTTCTCACAATCTGCTTATTTTTGACCATTCTTCTCGGCAACATATCAAAGCTCAAAAACCACATAAACAAATGAGTAGAGTGTGACAGCTACTGGTATTGAAATTCAGGTTGAGTTTCTGAATATATGATCAAACCCGTCCATTTTGCAATACTCCATTATAGCAGTTTGGAATATTAATATTGATGAACATGGTAAATCTAGGTTTGAAATTTTTACATTATCAAAAGTGAGTGGCAGTAAACATAATGTACCATTTATTTGTTAATAAATAAATATTAAGAATGTGTATAAAACACTTTTGCAACTTTGTAACTACGTGAGGTTTGCAACTGTTTCAAAGTGGCAAATTAAAGAGAAACAAATCCATCTGAAAATCTCCCACTAGCTACAGCCTAAATACATTGACATAAAACCACTTTCTGTGCCACTGTGAATTTACACACTTTAAACGCCATGTATCCTACAGGTGGGTAAGGTCTTTTTCTTATAATATCCCCTAAGTACAGATAATTTAAAAACTTCACTGAAAATTTGCTTTTATAAAAGCACCTCCTAACTTCAATGCAACTGAAGTGAGTGGAAATAAACAAGATCATGTGGTAATTTCAGAGGCAAGAGTCCCATACACAGAAATTGCTTTGACACCCTGTGCACAACTCTATGGGACTGGTCTGAAAACAGCATTAAGGTAAAACACTTTGATATATTCCCTGCTAAATTTGACATTTAGGATGTTATCACTTCCTGATGGCCGATGGGAATTTAGGGAAATATGAGTGATGTCCGTTTATCAAATTCTTATCATTTCTGATTTTAGGAAGTTTTTTTGGGGGGGAGGATTGTGAAGGGGAAACTTACCCGAGTTGGAGCAGGAGAGGTACTTCTGTCTCCCCCGGCATTCAGTTCAGAGACCACTTTGGCCTGGCCAAGGAAATCAATTTTGTTCAAGTTGTCGATCTTGGCTTTGGGTGGGCGGAACAGTGCCCCTTTTGGTAGTTTCATGATATCAAAAGGGGCGCCGGCCTACACAGGAAATAGAAATTTAAAAAATCAGTCATCGGAAGGAAGCATTTTTATAAGCATAGAGTGCAGCTTGTTCACATTGCAGCCCTGCATGCATTTCCACCTGGGCAGTTTTTCTCATTTGCAATGTGAATATGTGACCCACACTGTGAGACTAAGCCACAAGGCCAATTTTTCAACGATTTTGTTTCAGTTTGCATCAGAAAGAGCAAGCTAGGCTCTTTACTTCGATGTAGCATTCATTTTCCAGGTAAAAATAGGCATCGTGTTGGAGAAAAATGTTGAGGGTTCCTATTGATTTACACTGTTCAAGGCCTATCAATTAAATGTGGCTCTAGCACCTTGCAACTCTTTTTTACTAGGTGAGTTGCACAATGAGGTTTTGTGCCGGTAACAAGCAGTTTTGGTGACAGTGAGAAATTGAGGAAATATCAGTCACCCAATGTGTTCAAACAAGCAGCACGGTTGCTGACTATTGTTAGAATGCAATAATGCATGTTGACACTGGCAATGTGCCACTCTTGAGCAAACAGAGGGAAAAAAATGTTCTGCCAATATAGAAAAGCCCACGTGGGAAGATTTAATCTGCAGGGAACTGAATTAAGGTAAGTTTCCACAAGGACACGGAAGAAAAAGTCCAATTGCACAGCAGCTGGAGTTCAACTTTCCGTACATGGGCATTTTTGAGGGAGTTGTCAATGGCGTCGTGTTTGGTCTCTGGTCTGGTACCCTGCGCTGCCTTCAAAAGCTGTAGGCAAGTCTCCCTCTGTCCCAACTTGTAGTAAGCCCAGGCCTGATTGTGCAGAACCTGGAAAAGAACAATAATGCAAAAACTAAGGGATGTTAACTTTCCAGATACATGTAGCAGTGGTTCATAGTCAAAAGTTATAAAAGTTTACGGTTACACTTGAGAAGAAGTGTTTCACTTGATGTTTAAATTTGTGTGCTCTCAATAACAATTCAACTGTACATGCATGGTGTGTGATTCTAAATACTTGATCAACCAATGTATTATAAAATGTTTCCCAGCATCAAGAAGAGACTAGCGTATTACATAAAAACCTAAAATAACTTCTGACAATTAAATGTACTTCCTTTAACCTCTTGCGGACAGTATTAATTTTGGCCACAAATTCTGACTTTAGATGCCAACTCTTGATATACAGCTGAAAGCCTTAAATATTGACAAAGTAAAGACATTTAAGCAGTATTTGTACAATGTTTCTTACTACAATCTCACATTTTTGACACCCTGGAATGTGCCCACAGAGTGATATTTGCTGACTAACCAGGCCTTGAGTGGCAGTCAAGTTCATTTGACTCTGCCTCGAAGGACTTTCAAGACTTTGGGTGCATACAAAGCAAGGGGGAATTAGCATGTTAAAACACAAGCCAGAGCTGAGTAGGGCACACACGGCAGTTGAATCCATCAGCCATGCCTAAGTATACAACTGGCCAAATCACATCAACATGTCCTATAGGAGGAAGTGGTTGAGGAAAAAAGCCTCCTACACCGTAAGAAACTCCCTCCTCCCTCCCTCTGCAAAGGGATTTGACTCCACCCACCTCAAACTCATACAATTTGTACATCAGGCCCAGCTGCTTGTAGTCGATGAATTTGTGACCTCTGAAGCAGTCCAGGCATTTGTCATATTGCCTCCTGGCCTGGTCTGGCCTGTTCATCTGGCATTGGACGTTGCCGTATTGGTAGTGACCAATAGCAAGATGAGGATCCTTGATAGTGACTGTTTGAAACGCCTTCAAAAAAGGACAGGCAAACAAGCAAAATCTATTCAAACAACAATATAAATGTGACAATTATGTGCTCCATTGTCTAATAATTCTGAAGTCATTGACAAACTTAATCTTCCTATAAGTTTAACATGTTATGCAAGATAAGTTTAAAATCTCTCTTCAGGCCTACATGTACATGTACATGTATGCCTGTGCCTCCGAACGCGTTTTCTGCTGCAGTCCATGATTGATAGATCATTGTATGTATTCTCATAACATTTAATAATAAATTTGGCTCAGTTTACAATCTGTAGTCAGGACCTCTGTGTCCTCAAATGGATTATGTTGCAATCAATAACTGTTGGTATCCTACCGGTATACTGTACTTCGTTTATTCTCATAGTGTGCAATGATCAATGTACATGTACATCAGTTTGATACAATCTCACTTCAGGGCGGATATGCATTCAAAGGCATATGAAGCTTCAATTGATTCATTTTGCTGGTTCACTGTCTATTCTTATAACATTCCATTGTTAATTTACTAAGTTGTTTTCACTTTCAATTTGTTACATCAAATTACACTTGCAGACAGGGCACTGCTCCACTTTCAGTTTTGGTGACAAATTGAGTCTTGATGCACTTCCCTACAAATACCATCACTGTTCACAGAGGAGATTCTGTTTGTTATTCTAAGGATGCATCACATGGTATTGACTATGATTAGTCTTTGACATGTGACCAAAAGACTACACCTTTTATAACTACATGTGTGGTAACAACAAATATCATTAGAAGACGATTTCCCACAAATGTGTGCAAGACCACATTAAGTTCATTGCAAGTTTATGATCTGATGATGGACACCACGGTTGGGTGGAAATGTATTTGTTGACAGTAAAGTTGGGAAAATGCGCATGAATTCATAATTACACATATACATGTACAGTTTACTTCCAGATTGCAACTGAAATACAATTTGCATTTTTAACTAACCAGGTATTTCTTAACCTCACTTCCACTTGTCATACAGTACCATTTGCTTCCATTGGTAGCCTGGGGAACATTGTATTTTCCTTCAGATTCAAAAGATTTAACAAGGCATCTCAGTGAAAGCCACCATTTTTGTATTCTGAAAGTTCTCCCTTCTTTCAGAAAGCCAGGAGCTTGCAATGTTCACTCTGACTATTGAAGCCAACAGCCAAGTCCAAAACGCTGTAATATACTTTGCCCCCATTGTTGAGTCTGGCGAGAACAATTTTACCATCAAATTGTACTATGCGGGGGTTGCGCCGCTGGGTGCTTAGCTTGACATACATGTAGTCAACGTGTCAGATTTGACAACCGGGTCTGGTCTCACTTGTGACAAATAAAAAGATACTCCAGAGAAGCAGGCGTCCAGTAGCTTCACATGTGCTGATTTATTGTAATTCAGATTTGATTGGAATCACATTGATAATCGTTCCCGCAGTCCCAGGGAAGGAGGCAAACAATCTGCACCAACCGGCTTGGCGTAGGGTTCACGAGACGCCATTACGAAGACCCACCACCTTCTTCCTCCCCTTCCAAAGCCAACTCCTTTTTCTTTTCAACTCGTCTCTACCAGCCAAAAATCTAAGTTATTGCAGACACATCCCTCCGCTGCATGGATGCAGTTCTATTTTTAGACTAATTTGCATATACGGCTGGCTACCTTTTGGCAGTTGACTTTAACACTATGTAGACGTGCGCCCTCTATTGGTCCAATTAGTGAACAATCAAGCAAAATCATAATACGTGTTAATCGTTTCCCCACAAAATGTCAAGCACTTTGCAGAACTAGAGAGCTGTGATAGAGTGCTATGCAAGAGATAATATTCATGCCATTGCTGGAAAGTGACCTGTTAAAGAGGGCTTTATGCTGTAAACCTCCCATAATATTTTGAGAAAAACAATGCAACAACGAGGTACAGTGACTCAGATTACATCACAGTTTTGCTCATAAATATGCAAATGCACATTAGCATAAAAACCCAAAGGCCCCAAAATACAGATATTAATAAGAAAACAAAAATTTGAAGGAAAACGAAAATGTACGTACCTCATCTGCTTCTTGAATGTTGCCCAGTTTCTGATGCAACATTCCGATGTTAAACATGATCTTGGCGGTCGGGTCTATAATTCTCAGCATCTGATCTAGGGCAGGCCCAACCTGTCCCCGCTCAAACATGATCACACCCTCGTTCCAGATGGAGATGGTGTCCCTGTGTGTTGCCTTGGCACCCAGCGTCGGGCTCGGGGATGGGGAAAGACCACTGGGTGGTGTTGCTGGGGGAGGGCGGGGCGGAAGAGAGGGGCTACTCCTGCTGGTGCTGGGGGCAGCTGGTGGTGGACGCAAGGGTGGTGCTTTGGGATTAGGGGAAGGGCTCCTGGGTGGGTGACGGATCGGCTGGAAGTTACTGGATGGAGTGGGTGCGACCAAGGAAGGGGGATGGGGCGGGTTGTAATTTGGGCTTGGACTCTGCAGGGAAAGGAAAGGAAAACAAAATCACTGATTCCATAGGCTTCCATATCAGTTTAGACATATGTATCCATAGGCTGGGGGGACATCCAGAACACTCGCAAAATGGCAGGTAGCAACCACACTGCGCTGGTGAAAACAGCTGCAACGACTGCGCGTGTATGTATTGATCAAAGAAAAGATTGCATAGCCCAATCCTCTGACTGGCTGATTCATGCGCCTCGCCATGGTCACAGTTGTGGTTGCTATCCACCATTTTGCGAATGTCCCGGATGTACGCCCCAACCTACATCCAAACATGTCTTTTTAACCACCTTTATTTTCCATCTCCCACTCAAAACTTAAATTATTTAGCTTTCAAGTTGTCACTAACGCATTGTTACCAAATGGAAAATATTCACTAACTTTTGTTATAATCATAATTAGCAATTTGGCAAGGAAAAAATGTGTATGTATTTAGCACTGTATTCAAGACATGAAAAAAAAATCTGTGACTGCACCATGTGAGTCTCTTTTGTGAATGAGCGATGCTCTCAAAAGAACTCATAATCTTAACATTTTGGAAAGTACCGGTATGCTGTGTCCAAAATGTAGAGTCTGCCAGTCTTTTCAGAACCCTACTGACCCATAAAATAGACTCGTCTAGTTCTTACACAAACCTTTACATGTACATGTATCTCATCGCTACTTGAGTCAGTGGCTGCAAAAATCAGAAATATCGCTTAGCTAAAACTTTGGCTGTTGATTACACTTTGCCAGCTAGAACCTTGAAAGCATCAATGTATTAACCAGTGTCAATAGCCTCCAGAATTGCATTCCTAAATATCCATAAAGGTTTGATTAAATACTGTAGAGCACATGTATGTGTCACATCTAAAAATTGAAAAAAAAAAAGAGCCATTCATAATTTTACACAAACGGTGTGATTCACTTCCAGACAATAATAATTTTCATCAGAGGCCCTGTGGTTTTCCTGTACATAGCTGTTTTGTCAATTACTGATCCCACGCTGCTGTTTTTTTTATGCGGTCGTTATAAATATTTCAAACCAAAAATGCCAGGGTAGGCTTTTGAATGCCATTATTGGTTCAGTGCATTCAGCACTATCAAGACATGGTGTGGGCTTCAAATGAAAAATCAGTCATGCGTAATGCATACCATACTTGTGAACTGGTGCATGCGTAAGGCAGAGTGTTTCCAAGAAGGAAGTGCTGGTGCCCAAACATGTAAGGTACTTTATCACACAATGCCCTATTTAGAAAAATAGCAATCTTTTTTTACTCTCACTGATAATGGAATCTGTGTATCTATGTAGACAGCATTGTAGCATCCTTGAAGTAAATATCTCTTTTTGTAACATGTCTTCAGGTCCAAAAAATACCCCCATACATGTATCTTGAACCAAGTGTACTTTATCCCAATAATTTTTATCACCAACTTTTTGTAAGTGCCCTTTTCTCCCCATACATGTTCTGTAACGGCCCCCTTTCCATGTGCTTTTTTTATGCAAGAACTTCAGAAATCATCCAGCTATAGAGTGCCATTTATTGTCTGATACAGTCCTTTTTGAAATATGAATAGCAACACCATTAAAAATAGGGTTGAGTCAATGTGAGTAATTTTCTATTCGAATATTCGACCTTCAATTTGATCAAATGTCCAAATATTCGGTCGTACCGACTGGCTGATTGTTGATCAACAAAACATATACAAAATCAGTTACAATAACGCACACAATTGAACATTATTATCAATATAATCGCTTCTCACATCTAAGAGTATCTCCACTCATGATTCAGCAAGATTTAAGAGATAAACAATTCCTTTCAAATTGTTTCATGAATAATTTACTTCTTAAATCATTGAAAGATTTCTGTCACTTTTCATTTAAATCTGCTTGAAACAAGCCTCTATAATTTATAAGCCTCTGCAATTTTTCTCATTTAAAACAAATGAAAATGTTCCCTTTCTTTTCATGAATTTTGCATGTGAATGTTCAAATTCGGAAAATGATACTCGAATATTCGATAATCGATCGAATATTCGGTTATTCGGATATTCAGCAAAGGCTCAATTAAAAGACGGTGCTGAGGGTGACAAAAACCATTGTCAACCTTTTCAGCATGAATTTACTCCCCCTTCCCAACATCAAAATGGCCTTGCTACATCACTGGTATACATATGGATCACACTGCGCGTGCAAGTACATGTACATGAACAGTGGTAAACTGTCCTGCCCAAGAACACAAGCCATGGTTCAAGCCACAATAATTCTGACCACATTTTGACTGATAGGCTTTAAAAGAACACAGAGGTTTGAAATTCTCTCTCTCACCCTTCCTCTTTTGCTTTCAGCCTCTGGGACGGCCAGCTCAGACACGACTTTCGCCTTGCCTAAGTAGTCCACTCCTTTGATATTCTGGACCTTGGCGGCAGGAGGACGGAAAATGTGCTCATCTGGGACAGCAAACGGTCTGGCCAGGTTCCCTTGCTGCCAATGCAAAAAGTGACCCCAGAAGTATGAATTCCCAGCATTTGGAATACAGAGGTCAATTCCAGATGCTCACAGGCAAACTGTTATATACCGGTAGACAAATCCAGAGATGTTTCACTGGAGATTGTCATGGCTCCCTTTTATGGCAGAAAGCATCGTGTTAGGTATTGTACAGAGTGGCTGTCACTGAACAGCGGCTCTGTACAACAGTTTTTGCAGTACTTACAGCCATTGGAGGGGGCCACCACAAATGGGCATCAGCTCAGTTAACGGATTTGCCCATAATTACATGAAGCATTTATATGATATTTTCTGTATGAAAATCAGTCTTATATGTCAACTTCACTCTCTCTGTTACAAGCACACAGCTTCATAAATGTAAAGGACGTAATATGAGTCTTTATTTGGAAACGAGTACAGCACAAGCCCCTCTGGGATATTTGGTTGCACTTTTACACACATTTCAGTCATTCTACTCTTCATAAAGTTCAAAAACTTGAAGAGAAAACAAGCTTTGGCATTAACGGAAAAGACACTGAGCACTATGACCAAATGAACCGTGGAACAAATTTCAATTTTTTCCGTGTTCCAGACTCTTCTTTAAAGCATTCTAAAGTTCCTCTCTTTGAACTTAATGTGCCACACCAGATTCTAGAAAAAATATATTAATAAATATACAGGTTGGTTAAAGGAGGAGAATATTTTTCTAGTTTTATGCATTGTCAGCAAAAACAATATTTTCAGGTTCAAAGCCTATGAAAGCAGCAGTAACCATGGCTACATTTTATCTGTAGAACTCACTTGTTTGTTTGGCTCTGTTTGTTTCCAGGATGGCATACACTTCCTCAAGACAGTTGGGTGATACTGTCTGTCACCTACTCTTTGAATTTCCCTCCTCCAAAGAGGAAATAGTCCCCTCCCCCAAAAATACAACTACTGTACATGAACCAGGGTTTGAGAGTCTTTTTGTGGTTTGCACAGTAGCTTTAATTTCTCTCTATATAGAGCATCCTTTGCACCCACATACAATTTACTTATAAAAACAATTCACTGCTTCGCTTCTCCAATTTCATCTGCAGTTCCAACATCTAAAACTACCTCTGTTGTATATCATATCCATGTCAACTTCCCACATACTTTGTTTTTGAAACCACAAGATCAACACCAATTTTCAAACCTTTCCTAACCTTTCCTGTTCAGTGACCAAGCATAACTCTTTACTGAGAACTCTGAACGGTTATAGCGCGTTGACTCCAGCCAACTCAGACCTAGAAATTTACGGTCTTCCCCTGGACTTGGCCTAAAACCTGAGTCAGATCACCCTGACCGCAGGGTGGTCTTTACAGAAATGAGGAAGTTGATGCATCTGTGCTAGTATGATTGGTTTGACAACTGTCATACAGGTAGTGTTCACTTGCGGGTCATTCTATAAATTTGAATGTCAAAAAGTGTGACTTTTTTGTGTCTATAGTACAACCTACCAGTGTAATTTGACATGGAAATATCACTGGAATTGACTTCAGACTGTTTTTATTTGTTCGGCAAGTAGTTTCCATTACTACTGTAGAATAAATCACTCCTGGAAGCATGGTATGCATGATTGCAGCTCTTCATCATGTTCACAGGCAGAGGGAACATCAAACACCTGTACTTGTCATGTGTTGGCACCTCTTCACAGACACACAACATTTTGGCCAATATCAATACACATGAAACACAGGTAACATCTTGTCTTCTGTTGAGATGAGGACATTTTCATAATGTAATAGTTGCATTTCCTAAGTAATGGATAAATGCTTCTACTTAACACTCACAGTGAATTGTAAAATGAACAGGATCACCTGTTGAAACATTGAATGAAGGCAGAATGTGAAAACTTTGTACTGCATTTGTACTTCAGACAAACACTAAATCAATAATAAGAAAACTTTAAAAAATGATTTATGTTGGTGTTGTATGAAAAAATGAGTTTTTTGATATTTTGCAATGGAACAAATAATTTCATGAGATGACAGATTGAGCATTCTGTTTCATGTGGAAAAAAAATGCTCAATCTATCACCTCACGAAAGGATTTTTTGTTATTATTATAAATGTTATAACTGGTCAGGGTTCTCCCCAGGAATTTTCAAAACTGTGGGGGATTTCCATTGTGGTTTACCAACATTTTGCGAAGCCATGTTGTGGGGTTTGGGACCCGCCCCCATATTTTTGGGACTTTAGATGCTCTCAGCTGCATTTTAGAGCATTTCCTGGGCTTTTCAAATACCTTTTCTCAGGAAAAAACATAAGAAATTCAACATTTTTATTTAAATTGTGGATATCAATATTTTAACAAATGACCAGTTTTCCTTTTCTTTTTGTTCTACGATGCGGTATCGGCGGCTTTCCTTCCTTCGCCCGCGCCTGCCGTGCATGTGCTGCAGGTGGCTGCTTAGTCTGCCTCTGGGTTTCCCTCAGCATGAACTGCTGACGTTATTGGCTTAAGAAAAGAGCCTATCTTTGTTTGAGTTTCTGCCATTGTGCATGGGACAAAATGCGAGAAATATCATCCCTGTCAAAGATGCCATTTATACTGTTACACATTAACATTTAAAGGCACATACATTCAATGAAATGAATCTAAGTAAACGTGAATTGTATAACGTGCAAAGGCAAAAAGAACTGGCAAATATGCAGAGATGCATGAACATGAAATATTCTTTGACTTATGCAGTAACATGAATGTGCAGATATCAGGTGCATATACACCATACGGTGTAGAATCTACAGGTACACTCCCCTCACCAGCATATCCCCTGGTGGGAGGGTTTTCAAATGCAGATACCGTGTAGTTCAACAGAACTGAATTGCATGGCCTATACACATACATTGTACAGTTTCAACCTGTACACAAACCGGTGGGCTTCTACATGAAGAGTTCTCACTAGAGAGTATAAAATCATGTTGACTCCACTGGATTGAGGGTTACGGCTAGCTACGGGTAGGCTAGTGGGATGTGGTTCATTTTATGCACACACACACACGTCTTCTCTTGTTTCTGCACAGAGTGGAAAGGTGAAACCTCCCACCTAAGCCCACAATTATAATTTTAGACTCTTCAGACCAATGGCCCTTACCAGCCACACCTACTACTACATTCGATGGCTGGCATCAAAGCTAAGCCATTAGCTATTTTCCCCACTGTTGTTTGACTGAATATGGACAAGAGGCAATGTTTTCAGCAGAATAAACAGACTTTCACCTCCATCTGTAATCACATTTCATTTCACATTCCACACTCCATTGTGTAACAGTCACATTAACTTTGAAAAATGGCTGACTACTGAGGTTATGGTAATTTGTTCTCAGTACCTCCATGACTGTACCAACATATACTTCCAACCTGCTTTATGCTAGGGGCAAGATTGGACAAAAACAAAATAATTGCGAGAGATTCGGAGGGAACAAAAGCAGCGTAGGGTCTAAGATGTACCCGGTACATTCGTGTTTGCCTAAAGGTACCCCTGAAAATACATGTACCAATTTACTGTGTTCTACATCAACTTTCATAAATAAAAACACCTTCATCCCAAACTCAGGATTTTCCAGATTTTAAAACACGTATGTCAAACCTTGTTTATTTCATTACTATTCTGATACTGTCACGGTCATATGCTCCACTGGAAAAACTTAGTACTTTCAGTTTTGCCCCTACGGCTCATGATTTCGCACGGCATAAATATATTTACTACTGGTAAGTATTTATTACAGAATCTATGATTTGCTCTGAAAAAATTGTAAAAATCACTGGCCTAGCAAGGTTCATCACACCAATAGGACCCTACATGTACATGTAGGTATTTCAAACCCAGCTATTCGGCCCAGTACAGCCATCTATGATACATGTACAGGTGGACAGGTACATGTACATTTACATGGGTACACTAATCACAGTACCAGGTACAGTACATGTATTTCCTACGTCGTCGTATGTGTTATGGTTGTTGACCTTGTATCAACTTCCCCCGGTCACCATGCACTTCATCCACAACCAACATGTCCTTCCTGGCAACACGTAACTTCCAACAGTTTGAACAGGGAGTCAAGTTCTGTTTTCAGGGGAAAGGTTCCATACTGGTTCATCAGGAGGACAGATATGACTGGTTAATGTGCAAAGTGGTATGAGAACATTGGCATACACACAAACCAACAGGTAAAAACCACGCATTGGAATTCTCTTCTTCTACAAGTCACCAAAGGAATTTCATAAACCACAAACTCAAGCAAATAATGTGTCGTGTATTTTCACTGTCAGTGAAACAAACATCAAACATTCAACAAATTAGCACAAATTGGTGCAACTGAACGCTGATTATTAGCATGTATTGTTCGAGAAATAACAGAAAAACCAACAAAATTTAAATAAGGCATACACTGTACAGGTAACTGCAACAATCTCATTATGGATGAAACTAAAACCCATACCACTGGAAAACAAGCCCAGCTTTGAAAGCAGCTGTGCACAGACCATGGGCTGGCTTACGTGTCTAAGAAAAATAAAAGTCCATCAAAAGATTTACAGTCAATGATCTTTACGTTAGACCTGTCCTTGAAATGTGACAATAAACTGACCCATCACAAAAGATGAATTACGAGTCACTGGGCTGTAGTTTGAGCTGATATCATCCAGGAAATACAAGGAAATGGTCTACATGTACCTGAGCCACCAATCTACATGTAGAGGGTGATTTGGTCAGTCTAGCATTGCCAATTAGAAGAACTAAAAATGTGGTATTCCTAGCAGGTTGAAAGCACTTTTGATTACCTGTATGAATGAGTAATAAACTGTAACTGAATGACTTTGACTTTATACAGCAGCTCACCAACAATGGGCAGAGCGTCAAGAAAATAAGATGAAGCGGACTCGGTCACACAGAAAGATTCATTTGTATTGGTTGGAACCATGTGGTACATGTATTCAAGTAAATTGCGACAATATTGATGTATTATGGATCTATTCGCATTATTTATGAATGTCCCAGGTACATTATAAATGTGAAATTATCAAACTCATCCGTAGGGTATAAGGACAATATTACTACATATGATCACTACTGGTAATTGTCTTTACTACACAAGAGAGTAAAACAGAAGATGGAAATTATCTACACATGCCAGGTAAATCTCTAGTTATCAACAAAATATTTCTGATTACATATTTTGAATATATCAACATTTAAAAACCTACTTTAAAATTCTTCTTTTCACACAAAGCAGTTCTTAAAAAAGTTACAATGACAAGTTACTCTACTTGGAACAAATATTTTAAGATTGTAAATATAAAAAAGGTTCCCCAAATATACATGTACATGTATGTGCCAGTTTAACTTGAATTCATGTACAAAGTGTATCATTCATTGTTGGAAAAGTAAACATTACGTCTGCATGTTTACACATCCCTTCAGTCCTCATTCTGTGCCTACCTTGACTGCTGCCAGAGCGGTGTCAATGACGTTGTGCTTGTTCTCTGTTTTGCATCTCGACGCCTCTGTCATCAGTTCCACGGCCCACTGGGTCTCATTTAGGGCAGCGTAGGCGAGGGCTAGGTTGTGAAGTATCTGTCAGCACCAACAATCAGGATAGCTTCATTTCTTCCAGAATGTTTCAGTTTAACAAAAACAGAGGTGCCAGAAGCAAGGGTGGATCCAGACTCGAATTGTCACAGAGAGTCAAACTTTTTAGGAGGGCCAAAAAACTGGGTTTTTTTTATGTAACCTTTATGGCCTTTCTTAGGGGCGATGCTTCAAATTAGGGCTTCTCCCGTGATTTTACAAGGAAGGGAATTCGAATAGACCCCAAAAATACCTGTCGCTCATGTTTTAAAAAGTAGCATTGGGTTCCGGGGGAGGGGGGGGACAAGGCATGGCCCCAATTTCACCTCTCCTTCCCCCATCTGCCAGCGGGCACCCACACCACATTAAAGATGTTTTTTTATCTAAAAGGGAAACAACTTTTCCTTCTCTCTTTTTTGTTTTTTCTTATTTTTAAAAGATGGAAATTATTGTCACAAATATGTCCCACTCCCATGTTAGGGCTTGTTTGCATTTGGGGTACCCTGTCCTTTTTGTAAATACCAGCTGTCGCCACCACTCCTTCCTCTTTTTTTTTTTTAGAAATGTTGGATCTTCTAATCCAGAATTTCTTCGATTTGGAATTGTTTTATCTTTCTTCTGCTGATGTATAATAGTAATTCATTACTATTATACAGCAGCAGAAGCAGAATTTTGGAAGAAGAATGCCATATCAAACTGACACATTTCTAGAGTCAAAACACCAGCATATATGTGTATTTAAAAAGAAGTACCTGTTAATTTGTGTGGAAGTTTGACAAAGAAAGAGGCTCAAATGCACTGCACCTGAGGGGAACAGATTTAAATTGTAGGGTCAACTTGTGGATGTTTATTATGACAATCAAAAACTGTGATGGTCTTCCCTGTTTTTGGTCTTACAAGTTTCGCTTGTAGTATTGTGAATACATGTAGATGGATACATACATGTGCAGTAAAATCTCGATAAGTCGAAGCTCAGGGGAATGGACGAAAAGTTCGAGTTATCCGACGGTCGAGTTATCGAAAGTTACTCGCTTCAGTGTACATGCAACCTTACTGGCTTACGGCAGTTGGCCTGCAAGCTGAGTCGAACACGATGTGGATTTTTGGCGATCCCTACTGCCCAAGTTTTCCTCAAACATCATCATCTGTGTCTACGTCTTGAGAATTCATTCATTTGCTTTGATCGGGCTGTTACCGCATAACGCAGCGCGGGCAAGTCGGTCAGGGTTTCCGTGCTGGGTCACGTGATACATGTACAAAGCGCTTGAGGGCGGATCATTCATGCCTGATTTAGGCCCTGTCCGAAACGGGCTTCCAGAGCTACGGCTAGGTCTATTGTTTACGCATCACGGCCTTATTTTACGGTTGTGGTTGATGCCCAACCAGTGCTTGTCGACATGACAATGGCAGCCCATGTGAACATGATCAGCTCATCAAAGAAAAGTCGTGCGCGTGACAGTAATGACTCATAATGAAGGCAAACATTCTTCATCACTTTTAATTCATCATTCTTCAGTGTTTTTTTTTTTAACTGGCCTGCCAAAACTTCGAGATAAGCGGCTTTCGTGGTATTGACGTTTCGAGTTACGGATAGTTTATTGTACATAAAGGCCTATTCTTTTGTCGGGAAAACAGACAGACGTCAAGATAAACGGAGTTTCAACTTAACGGGCTTCGACTTATTGAGATTTTACTGTACATGTTACGCCCCAGTTGGGACTTATGCCATATTTGGGGCATAACATATATAACAAGTTAGCTAGTTAATTAGTGTGTGTGACCTGAGTAGGCTATCAACCCCCCTGGGCCTATCAACTACATTTTTCCTACAAGTTTACCTCACACTCATGTAACTTGTACTGTAGCCCTAGCTGTTTGTAATCAATGAACTTGTTGCCTCGTAAGCAGGTACGGGCCTTCTCTAGGCTCTGCAAGGCTGCGTCGTAATTCTGCTGTTGGAAGAACGTCTGGGCCAGCTGGAAATGGGCAATTCCCATGTGCTGGTCCTTCTCAATGGATTTCTTGAAAGTCTGTATCAAACAAGGATCAATGCATAGGTCAGAAAAATTACAAAACAAATCTGCTTAAAATAAAAGCATTTTTTTATATAACATCTTTTATTCACAATTTTGGAAAGAACTCCATATCAGGACACTACATTAGACCTCGTGCACATAGTTTATTTACTGCATTTGGGAATTTTTTCATCTTCCAAAAATTGCAAGATCATACTGTATGTTTTATTAAATTGATTCCTACAATGCATTGCAGGGTACATGTAAGTCTTTTTCTTTTCATAATTTGTGGCTCTGGAGGGTATTTTTCAGAGAAAAAGTCGAAAATTACAGTCTTATACATGCAGGTCTGACTTCCATCTCATGAATAATGGGTACAGAACCTGACAAAGATTTGTCCTGGTAAAATTTCCTAAGTATTCAAAAAATACTCACTAGTCTACATGAATGCACATTCATTTGCTATGCCAGTACGACAGCAAAGGCAAAAAGTGAACCAGCCAAATATCCATTGCCTAAACAGCTGCAAAGTTTGCATATGAGTTGGAGAGTGTGTCATTTATTTCATGGGAAGTCACTTGTATTTCAAAGTAATACACCTAACAATAAAGTGTGCTACATGTAAAGCACATAATTATGTCTGCACGATCACCACACGCACCGAGGATTTTTTCACAATCCCAGCATGGATCATAGATGCGTGGAGCTCATATGCTCCAACTTTGTCACTGTCCCAACTGGTCATGGACACTAATTCAATTAGTGTCATTTTCTGTTGCTCTAATTAGTAATTGGAGCAATTGAAAATGAAACGTGTAATTAAACGCAATTAAATTTTAGGTAGGCCTAAATGGCCTATGTCAACTAGTTGACACAACATATATACCGGAACAGCCCAAGTTACTGACCTGCGTAGCATTGTGAGTCTTGCCTACAAGCAACTGAATGTGGCCGATGTTGAACAGTATCTTGGCTGGGGGCTCCTGGATCGACTGCAGGTTTTCCAGCGCTTTGACCCGCTCTCCCCGGTCGAACAGCTGCGCCGCCTCGTGCCAGATCACAATCGTGTCCTTGTGTGTCTGCTTCTCAGCCATTGTGTCCAGAAAATGACAAGCATCGAATTTAGGTTCGGGCTTTTCTTTAATTAAACGACAACACCCGTATCGTCTGGAGCGTTATCGGTTAAACTGCCGGCGTTGTAAACAACTCATCCCAAGAGTGGCAAAATCCGTGAATCATGTTTCCGCGTCCCTGACACAAGGAACGCGGAAGTATCCTCACTCGTACTCTACTCCCCGATCAATGATGCACAGGTGGGGTGTTCACGCGTCCACTGTGTGTGACCCGCTTCTGAGTTAACTTGGCCTCTGCTCCTTGCTCCGTGACTTGGCTAAGGCTAGATGCTGTATGCGTTATTGGCAGTCGCAGCCAAGTCAAGTATCAATGACGTCACAAGCACGACTCAAGTACACGTCCATGACGTGCATGGCGCCACTGATTATGTGGAAATGTTTACAATTAAAATGACTTTACGAGGGTAGGTTGCTCATGACCGGTGACTTCGCGAACCCTGCTTTGACTTTGGTGTTTTAACAACACGACCAACGGCCACGATGATACATACATAATCAAGTTGGGTTGAGGGTATTATAACTTAATATCGTGCCTTGTGCAGGCAAAAATGTTGGAGTCGCGGGGGCATCGGAACTTGTTTGAGGTACCAAGAGTTATTATGTTCAAAATATTTCGGGGGAGGGCCGGGTAAAAACACGGATTCGGAGCCAACGATTTTGAAGCTATTCTACAGCCGGGTGTTGTGTCTGGTCGGTAGTTCTACGTCCCCTTTAATTTTGTCTTTCACTGCTAGCCGTTAAGTTGAAAGAAAAGTAAATCCCGGGATCGGTCGGGCTGCGAGGATGATGATGCTGACGGGATCAATCGTCGCGACGTGGCAATTAGCATGCCCTACGTGGCCTTCAACTAGATTGAAAGTCCCGGAAAAAACTTATTGTGTCATATTGTAGGGAATTTCACCATTCTTGTGAAATGGTGAAATTCAAATTATTTGAAACATGATGATAACGGCTAGAGGAAAATATTTTCTGCACGAGGGGTGTTGTTACGTTGATGTACCTTTGGCAATTTTATACCCACTGAGCTTCAGGGACCGTACAGAAGAAGATTAGAAAGATCAAAAGGTAGGCTTAACACTTGTAGGCTAATCAAAGTTTCAAATAAGTCCGGAGGTTAAAGTCTAAAAGAGAAAAATGTAGGCGGAAGAGTAATAGAAAATGAACTATATCGTCTGTAATCCTCGAGAATGATGTTAAAAAGTCCTTTAGTCAAGCCAGCCGTCTCTGTTGCAAGTCGGCCCCCAACTCGTTAGCGAGTTGAGTAACTATATGCTACGTGTACAGGTGATGACGGAAGGGTGATACCGTCCAGACTTGCAATCACTCAACATCCATCGCATGAAGCTGTAACGTATCTGGGGATGTGAGTGTACATGTACATGTATACTGGGATGTACTGCAGAAATTCATAGAGTTTAGTATATGAGTAATATATTTTGATTTGTAAAAGATAATTGTCATTTAATCAAAGGTAAGTTCAATATGTGTAGGTGTTTATATATGACGTGCATATTTCTTACAGGTAGCGGCGTCATACAGTAGCCAACTCAAAATCTATCAGATGAAACGGAACATCACAGTCACGGTTTCCAGATGATGCACTTTTGTCCTGCAGCTTTATGTCTTCAATGCATGAGAACTGTTTCTTAGGTTGAGGCCCGGTTTTGGTTATCAGTACGAGTGTTTTAAAAAAGTGCACCCTTTTCAAATATCATACATAAAATTTTCCATGTCTCCACAACTGAGAGCGCTTTTGTGGTAACCAGGAAAGACTGTTTCTGTGTTTTTCTAGATTTACACTGACCCCCCCCCAATTTACCAAATTTATTAATTATTTTATGAATGAGCACGTTCTGAACTATATGAGAAGAGGATAGGTCATATTATGGGGTAAGACAGTTCATTCGACGTCTTATTTGCCCAACTACTTTGCATGGACTCATGAAATTAACCAAAAGTACCCTTTTTTATTAATACAAAATGTATGGTTGCACAATCGCCGGCAACCGTTTGCGGCTGAGACTTCTGGCTTGAACTTCTGACCTGGCTTGATGTATACACATGTATGCAACCGTACGTATGAGGTAAGCTACCAGGCTGAAGGTAGCCCGCGATTCAGAGCGAGGTTCAGCCCGCGATTCAGCCCGAGATTCGGATTTTCGTCAATAACAAAACTACATGGAGTAAAGGGAGGCAGAAATTTTTCCACTTTGCGGTACTCTGTTCCACTATAAACTGAACGAATTTTTGAATGTTTTTAAGAAAAGCGGTTTTTCTTGATGAAATTGAAAAAAATAACATCCATTGAAGGGAACGGTTTCATAACCATTGCTTATAGATCAGTTTCATTTCTTTTATTTGGGGGACTTGCTCTAGGCCATTCACGATCTAGGATATTAAACAGACACCATTCCATTGTATTGTTGTAACTTGATTTGAGAAAAAACTTACCAAAAAATGTGATTAATACATCATGTTTATTTCATTATTCCACTTGCTTCATGGAACGGCTATATGGAATGCCTATTTCTGTGTCAAAATGTCTCTCACAGATATCCCATTTTTTGGATACAAGAATGCGCATATTGCCACAATTTGTAAGTAAGTGTATGAAAATGTACCCTATATGTTAAGAAAGCGCGTGTTTTCCCAACTTCAATGCATGCGATGCACCGTATATGTATGCTAGCATGGGCCGATTCATTTCCAAATGCGCATGCGCTCTACTAGAGTGATTGCGTAATGTACCATCCAGGAAAAACACAAACATAAACACATGAAAATATGTAATCGTACTGATTTAAATGTACATGTGCTTAAGCAAAATAAAATAAACTCGATTAGTAACAGTAATACCACCCGACGGGTTATGCATGGGCTTGGTGCATAATTGGTACAGTGACGCTTTTTTTACCCCCTTTTTCCTCAGAATAGATGTACATGCACCTATACTTAAGAGCCTTGTTACCATGAGAAGTGTGATTTAACCACTCTGAAGTAATAAAAAGACCTTAAAATTAAAATATGACGAGGAAGAATTATTTTCACTCAAACAAGAGGCTTCTATTCTTGGCACGTTTAAGCTTGTTAAAATACAGTAGCACATCCATGGAAAAATTAAATGTGAAAAACCTTAGCCAGCTCCAGTTTTTAAATCAGATCTCATGGGGTAGCATATATGACATTCTTTGAACATTGTTTTCTGCTTTAGTTTAGAGAAAACATGGCGAATGAAGGAAACAAGCTGCACGTGTAAGTATTTTATGAAAAAAGGAAAGCAATTCTGAAAATGAAAGTAAAACTCCAATGAGGTTAAACGATATGCAGTGCACTTTCTTTGCTATTTTAGTTTATAACAAACCAGTTGCATATAAAATATTGGGGAAAATTCAGCTCAGAAAATAAAATCTTCTCTCACTCTGAATCTAAAAAGATTTAGCAATTGTGGGCAATAAACTTTAAAGTGCTTCTCCAGACGTTTAAAATGAACGGTTATTGTTTCTCCTCAGCCAATTTTCATGACAATATAGAGTCCAAGATGCAGGTGTCTTCAACCAATGGGCTAGGCCTACAAGTATAATAATTATACGGCATGCTATCCCCGTATAGTCAAAAGCATTTTGAAAACACTCCTTGTAGTTGTAGCAATTTGAGTTCCATCACGTATCATTGGAGTGCTTTATAGACACCTCGTCAGGAGTGACAACCACAGCATTCCTTCGTCGGACCAAATTAATTAAAACTAATAAGATTAAGGTAAAACTTGGGACTTCTTGCGGCCATCATGAAAACATGGGGTGGACTCGAACTTCCAAATGACATCTACAGGCGAGCAGGACCGGAAAAACGAGTTAATTGTCCATAAATTCTGTACGGAGAGACAATTGAAAGTCTGTTATATCTTTCCACGCAGCGTGGAGCCAAGATGCCTGGCGTCAGGTTGTTCTCAAGACTACCGTATATGCCATTCCTCCGACACAGACGTGAAGGGCTGGTGGTCAGTGTTAAGTTTGAAAAAGCATGATAAAGGACTATAAGCAACTATGATGCAACTCAAGTCTCCAAAGGGAATTTGCATGGCCTTAATTTCCAAGATTCAACCATATTTACGTAAAATTAGGGTCCCTCGAGAATACACTGCCACCTGGAATACAGTTATCAGTTCCAGCCAGACCGGAGACAAAGATTGATATGGGACCTTGGATGTAGATCACAGGTGTGGTCTTTTCCTTCTGATTAAAAGAAAATAAAAAGAAAACATCTTCACACTAAAAACCGCCCATCCATAACAGTTGTTACTGGGATTATGTGTTACCATGGGTCTGGTAATGCCAGTTATCGATCAAAAACTATTCACTTTCAAGCAGGGTGCATTTGCTGTATATGAACGGAACATCTTCAGGAAGAATTTTCAAACACGTAGGATACATTTCCTTCAAAAGTATTAGGCATTTATATTATATTGCCGGCTTGACAAACAAATACCCATCAGATGTAGCCCTTACTAAAATGAGGTGTCACCAAGAATTGCCGATTCAATTAATGCTAGGTAAAAGAAAATAATTTATTTAACATGTAGGTTTCAATTTCGTCTAATTTCCTCTTAATGTAGAAATGTATTCTCGTATGCAGGAACGGGACACCTTTGAGAGGCGCTACGACACGGAAATAGGCATTTCTATATATTCCATATAGAAAAGACAAGTATTCTCTCTTAACATGTAGAGTACATTTCCGTCTAAATAAACACTTAATTACAAACTGTGGCAAATGGGCATTTTTGGATCCTAAAAACGGGATATATTTGAGAAGCGTTTTGACACGGAAATATGCATTCAATTAAACCCTTACTGAAATTGAGTGTGGCTAGGGGTCAGCCAATTTCAGTCCTGCAAAGAAAAGGAAAATATTTCTTAACATGTAGGGTACATTTTCATCTTAATTACCAATTAATTGCAAATTGTTGTAAAATGCGCATTCTTGTGGAACAATGAAATAAAACAAGATGTATTAATCACGTTTTGAGGTATTTTTTTTCTCAAATCAAGTTACAACAATGGAATAGCCTCTGTTGAATATCCTAGATTGTGAATGGCCTAGAGCAAGTCCCCCAAATAAAAGAAATGAAACTGACCTATAAGCAATGAAATAAGATTGATTATGAAACCGTTCCCTTCAATAGATGTTATTTTTTCAATTTCGTCAAGAAAAACTGCTATTCTTAAAAAAACATTCAAAAATTCGTTCAGTTTTTGGTGGAACAGAGTACCGCAAAATGGAAAAATTTCTGCTTCCCTTTACTCTATGGATTTTTGTTATTGACAAAAACCCGAATCTCGGGCTGTATCGCGGGCTGAATCATGGACTGAATCGCGGGCTACCGTCAGCTTGCTGGGGCTTATGATATGAAGCCTCTGTGGCGACATATTCTGTGTCTTGTTCCCAGGCGCACGCATTATCATTAGCTGGATAACAACATTTGCAACACCAACCAGACTATTGTTTTCGATGTTCAACAGCGCTGGAGCTTGGAGGAGCTTGGATATCGTCAGATTGTGCTGTTTCTTCAACTCCCTCTTTCTGCTAGCTCTTTCTCAATCAACCAAGAAAGCAATAAAATTCTGAAAATGGCTGAAAGTGATTGGGATCAAGTTACCTACCTCAGAAAGAAGGCTCCAACTGCCAAACAAGCCAGATCATCACAGGTATAGTGTTCATGGCGTTTATCCAACATGTCCAACATGTCCACAAATAATGGGATTGATGGAGGTAGAAAAACAAAAGTTGCATCATCTGATCATTGTCGGTATTGCAACGGAATTAGGAATCTAACGAAACCAGAGCACATTTTTACATTTTCTTCCTGTATTAAATTTGAATAGCTCTTTTTTTCTAAAGGAAGGTATTTAGTAATAACACTTGGCTTACTGTCATCAGGTCATGACTGTGACGGTTGTTAAAAATGCAGTGGCTGCACTAAAAAGTGTAAGCATGTAAAGTGTGATGTCATCATGGTCATTTAAGATCAGGAAATGCTGTAGCCTCTACAAACGAATGGAGTAGGCATGATTGTTGTGTTGGTTCACACGCTGGTACTCGCGCAAATGTCTTTTACACACATAATTGCATGCGATGTATTCACTTTGGTACTCTATTGTTTCCAAATTTTAGACATGTTATACAGGTCTACATGTTTACACCAGCCAGGTACATTGAAAACAGTACTGTCTACAAGGAATAATATCAGACTTTAGTTCCCTTAAAAAATCCTCCAAGGGTATGAATCTACCAAATAATAAAAGAAGAATAAGTGTCCTTTCAGTTAACCATGCTACCCTTTCTAACTTGGTGCACTTAAACAAATCTCAAAATCCTACATTAATATTTAAGACGTTCTTTAAAGTTGATAAATCCTTGTAAATCATAATTACTTCCACTCATACATACCCAACTACAAATTTGTTATGAAATTATTTTCTTTGGTGGCATGTTTTAAAAAAAGCTCATTTAACTTCAAAAAATTAGGCCAAAATAAAACTTCCTTTGATCTTGTAGCAGATAAGTAAAGTTGAGATTAATGAATGGACATTTTGAAAGCTTGATAAAATTTCACTGACAGTGAAATTTGAGGTAGAAAATGTTGCTCTAGCAAAACGCAAGAGGCAAAAAAATAGGCCCAGGCCTACTCCTTTTGTATGCTTTGTGACTTTGAGGGTCATTGGCCTACTGGGCTGTGCTAGCACCTTGGCCAGGAAAAGTCAATTTTTTTTCCTATTTTAGCAGAATGTTACTGCTATCATATACCCAGCTGCAGACTAGGGCCAGTCCGGTAGACTACCTGAGTATCCTTGACCCAGTGCCCAAACCCCCCCCCAAGTGTGGGCTTTGATAAAAAAGCTTCAGTGATCGAAAATGTACTGCCATAGAAAATGAATGACCATGTTAAGACAACCAAATAGAGACCAAACTTTTAATGACTGAAACAGTTTAAGAATAGCCTGAAATTGTGAGTGAAGCCGCATTTATAAGAAAAATGGAGCTTTAAGGAAGCTGTTTGCAAAGTCCCCAATTTTGGGGGGTGGGTGGGTGTAGGGTTAAGGATATGGAGGTAGTCCAGTAGACTAGGGCTAGTCTGGGGTTACACCAAGCCCCCAAATATTTCCCAGAAATGACAACACAGACTCAGTTAAATACCTTCAAAATTGCTTCTCCAAAGCTAAGAGATTGAGAGTTGTCAGGGGCATTGCTAGAAAGAGTGAAATTGTTACCAATTTTGGCACGTGAAGACAGACATATGTTGAATATACTTATCTAGTATTGGCCTACTAATGCAGAGGTCTGTGTAAGGATTGTCTTACCAGTTATTGTTCATTGCACAACACACGTGATAGACATTTCAAAGGATGTTTGAATATTCATGCAGTGCAGGCCTTCAGTTAGATTTTGATACAATAAAAAAATAATTGTTTTGAGATACAGCACAAACTTGTATTCCAAGAGTAGAAAAACCATGCAGAACAAAAAAGCTCACTTTACAAAAGTCTCAGTAATTTCTGTAACATCTTAGCATCCCATCAGTCAAGTTTAGAAGTGAGACTAAAAATGTGTTCTTCTGCAGTTACATGTTTTATTCTATCTTGGTTAAAATGATTTCCCTTGTTGGGTGTATCATTCCTTGATTTGTTGCTAGGCTGTCAACAGCGCGATGAGAAGAGGTGATGCTGTGGAAACAAGGTTGAAATGTAAGCAAATAAATTCATTGTAGGGCCGTTTTCCAATACTCAACTTCGTCTCCGTCTCAGGCTTCGTGTTGGAAACCAATGCCGGATTGGAGGCCTGAAGTGTTTAACATAAATTGAAGTACTGTAATGTTTGGCTCTTTTGCATCTGACTTGATGTTTTGTGGCACTGTCAAACTTACTATTGCACTTGCAACTCCAAAGTCAGGAAGTAAAAAAAAACAGTTGAAGCCTGAGACGGAGCCCCAGAAGAGTATTGGAAAACGGCCTAGGAAAGCTGAAATTTCATTTCCTGGACCTAGCTTCAACTCACCATTGTAGCCAAATCTATAACTAGTCTTTACATTCATCAGTCTTTCCAAATCTTTTGGAAATTATGTGGTGGATTTCAAAAGATTTGGGGATAAGGTTGAAATGTAATTTTTTTCTTACCATCTGCAACTCATCCCAAATTTATACATCAGTGCAAGAAGCAGATCATCTTGCTCATGTAGAATCCTTTTTTCCCAAACAATGTCCCTTAGAATTCTTACAGAAAGTTGTTTCAGAACTTCAAACAAGTGGAATCATGATTTTGATTCCAAGTTTGATAAAATTTGCAACAAATGTGGGTGGTTCAGAATGCAGTGCACCACCAAGAGGTTGCTGCAGAAAGGCTCTTTCCACAGTGCATTGTGGGAAATGGTAAACATATTCTTTTCGCTGGCTACACTGCACGTTGGAACTTGAATTTTGATTCAAGTGATTATTTATCTTAGTAGAAGATTCGTGTGTTTTGAGCGTCAATGCTAACTGATCAAAATGGTGTTTTTTGTGTAGCATGAAATGCCCTAACCTACAAAACCTTTCCCCAAGTTGTCTTCAAATAAGTGGAATTAGTGGCCAGTCAGCCATGTTTTTTGTCAATTGTTGACTTGACGAAAATGGCCTCTCCTTGCAATCTCTTGGGGGCACAGTGTGCTGTAAATTGCCCCTACTGAATTTCTCAAACCCCTTGATTTAGACTCTTTCATAGGTTTTCCAAATTCCACCTGACCAAGTGATCCAATCAGTTGGCCAGGTCACTCTAATGTCAAACTCCCTCAAACATGACATCTCGACCTTTACACAAATTGCATGTTCTCAGATACTTTTGGCCTTTTGGCTGTTTTTCTTTTGACAGTTAATGCAGCACAGAATAAGAAACGCTCAACTGACTGCAGTACGGCAAAGCTTGACCGAGAAACAGAGGAATTGCACCGTAAGTTGGCATAGGCTATCCTGTACAGTGTTGTTTTTCCTTTTTTTTTGAATTTCGTTCAACTTCTCGGGAGGTTTTAGTCTGTATAATTGGTTTTCCATTGCAGACGAGCGTCTGTGATATTTGTGCGCATATGCGGATTACTCATGCAAAATGATACCCCACTTGACCCCCCCAGCTTTTGATGACCAATCAGAAGACTTGTTTTATGGCTCCTTGCCTGCAATCAGCTTGGTGATGTAAAGGAAGACGTGATATGCATGAATCAATCCCTGGCCTTGTTGGCATGTCGTACTGTGTACTTTTGTTAGGCTTACTTGCATTTAGTTTTGCTTAGTTGAACTGAAGTTGGCCCATATTTGTGTGTGTAAGCATTTGCCATCCAAACTACAAAAAAAAAAATTGCCGGGTGTGAAACTTGCTCAGTTAAGTTTTCCAGTGGAGGGTGCCTTACTCTGGTCAGCTATTCTAATCATCTGACAAAGTTAGCTTAGGCTGCATCTGAATCTCTTGTCTAGAGCTAGGTCTTGGTCTTCACTCCATTAGAAATGTGATTGCCCATCATTTTTGTTCTAATGAAAGCCAGATATTCAAAAGATAGTACATGTATGGAAATTCATTTCATCACCTTTGGCGTTTTTGCTGGTGGAAGTGTTGTCACATTTTTATCCAGCAGAACTTTGCTGTTTGTTGGTTACCAATGTGCACTAGCCAAATGAGGACTTTGTACCGTTCTCGTCTTTCAATGACAGATGAGCGAGTGAAGCTGGAAGTTGGCAAGGTGATCCAACGGGGCAGACAGCAGAAAGAGATGACGCAGAAGGAGCTGGCCACGGTGAGGGAATTTATCTTTGAGAAGTCCATCGGAGAGCTACATTCGAGTTGTTGGTGTGTGGTATACTCATGGTATGACCACTGTAATGTTGACTCGCCTCTTGCAAATGTCATCACTGGGGAGGACCACAGGCCCAACAAATTCTGCAAACTTGTTCACGCATTTTTTGTGGAGTGAAGACATTGTATTCATGTCTTCCTGCGTGTTGACATTTTTGAGCTGACCAAATTTGTTCAGTCTCTTAGAGGGAGAAATCAGGAACTGGTCAGAACTCTACACTGACATTGAAAGTGCACCAAGAGATTATGCCGGAAATTGGTACTTGAAAAGGCCCAACTTTATCTTACAATGAGTTGTTGTTGGGACAGATTGGCCAGGGTCTCATTTCACGGCGCTGCCAAGCACACAGTTGTATACTACCAGAGGCTCTTGTGTATTACATGGAGACTGTAAGCAGTGAGCACCGTAAAAGGCATGCTTACCTTGGAGGAAAAATTGGTTGAATTTGGTGACTAAACAGTGGAAATCTCTATGTACACGTAACTGTTAGCACAACCACACCAAGCACCGCCATAAAATATGCTTGCGGTTGGCAACTTTTTTTTTACTATACTAAGCACAACTTTTCCTGCTGACTGTTAAGCAGTGCCAATGAAATTGGGCCTAGACACTAGATATTTCATTCATGTCTCACATCAGTGAGTATGTTTTCTTCTGATGTTGGTCAGGGTTGGTCAGACTGTGTTAAAATTCAGAAAGCAGTGGTTTATTTATATTGGCTCTCTGTATGTAAATCTAACACTGCCAAATGCACATAGAACTTGCAGTGGTCAAACAACATGATACACATACATGTATATTGTCGATTCAACCATTATAAATAAAAGTGTCATGGTACATTGTGTAGCTACGAAATGCCAAAGAAACCTCAAAACATTTCATTAACCATAAAGCAAAGAAGCACAAAATTTGAGTTCTAAGAGGAGAAATTCACAACCCTGTCCATCGGCAGGTGTTGCTTTAAAGAGGCCAGGTTTTGCCTTCAATGTTGCATATATCAACCAGAAGTTTATTATCTTCTTTGGTTGTTGCCCCTGCCCCGGCAAATTTTTATATTTGTCGTGATCACGCTTTCCATCTTCAAAGTGGTTTTGTTATTTAAGATATTCATTAATGCCTTTATTTCTGTCTTATAAAGGTTGTGCATGGCAGCCATCTTTCAAGTGACTGCTCTTGTTACAGGGGGATAGCACAAAAGGTCTACTCGTGTTTATCCCTGTGGAACAAAAGCTCTTATTGGAAATATGACTCACATACACAACCTTTATTTCACGTTCTGAGGATGTGTGTTCTCAAAAGGTTGAATCCTCCAACTTTGGCACAAAGGAAGGAGAAATTATTTACCATTGAGCCAAACTTCCGCAATTTGCTCACATTAGTGTACGTTCTTCCACAAAGATTCTGAGGATTTGTGTGCATTGTAATGAAACTTTGTCATGCATACAAAACATTGCATTCATATTATCTTGTTCTAGCAGATGGTGTGTCCCACACGGGCTCCCATTAATCGGCAATACATTGCCATCTGTCATTGCTGCTTGCAATCCATAGTACAATAAACTTGTTGCTTCAGTGCTCACCAGACTCATTCTTTTTTTTTCCCTGGGTTGAATTTTCATTACCAGAAAATCAATGAGAAACCGCAGGTCATTAACGACTATGAGGCAGGTCGAGCCATCCCCAACCAGGCCATTCTGGCCAAGATAGAGCGAGCAATCGGTAAGTGCTAAGACGAGGGCTGTGCAGTGGAACGGGCTGCCCAGGCACAAAGACATTTTTGTATGAAACTGGTTCCAAAGTGGAACCAGAAACCCATAACGACTTGTTAAAAATTGTTCAAGGATAAAATTGGCAAGAGATTTCTTTCTTTGTCTTTCTTGATTTCCCTCATGGCTCCCCAATGCTGCATGTCTTATTCAGTAGTGTTTCATAATACACTGTATGTGATTCATTCTGTAAAAATAAGAGTCAGGACCATTTTTTTTCAATAATTTTGTTTCAGTTTATAGTAGAAAGGCATAAATAATGGAAATGTACTTGGGCCATTTTCAGAAGCCTGGGAAGGATTGTCAGCGGTAGGATTCCCAATGTTTTTGTCATGCAAATAATCTAGAATGGCCCTATTATGCAGGTGAAGAATGCAGAGGGCTCCTGCTGCTTTACATTGTGTGTGAGGTTCATTTGAAGACCCTAAGCTCAAAAGAGGCTCTGGTGACTTGTCACACAGAGGGGGACACATACACTAGGCTGTACTTTGGCAAATCAAAGTGTGTTGCACTGCGTGCCTTGCACCATGCAGTATAACTGTTTGCCCAAACCAGAGCTTGTCACAATGATGGACTCCTAAAGAATTGAAAGAAGCATTGTGCATGAAACTTTCAACTTTTTATTTCTGCCAGTCAGGGAAATCACAGATGTGGCTGTAAACGTTGTGTTGTTACGTCAGTGGTCACAGTACTGATTTTCTTTCCCTGCTTTGTTTTGATAGGATTGAAGTTAAGAGGAAAGGAAATTGGACAACCGCTTGGGAGTAAGAAGTAATGGGACTTACTTCCAGATGCGGACACCAGCCAACCCATCAGAGAGGAGTCATCATCATTATCATCATCAACATTGTTACTATGGGAACCGTTTAATCATCTCATTGTAGGCATCGCACCAACACCACAATCTTAATAAGCAATGTACAAAACTCAAAATTACGGAAAGACTTCTTTCAGCAACCTATTTTCTGTATTTCGAGCCCAAAGGTTAGGGTTTTTGTTTTCTTGGATGAGGGAGGATCATTTGGAGCTTTGTTCCAATCCAAGCAGAGACTGTGACAATAAAGTTGTTTCTGAAAAACCTGTTATAAACTGACTCCTGTCGCATAGATTTTAAAGTTCCAGGCAACAAGAAGGCCCTGGAGATTGCATGAGAGACTTTTAAAGACTTACAACAAAACAGGATAAAGTCGCTGTACAGCTGTTTCCATTAACCCTAACAGTCCTCAATCCTTCACCTGTTGGAGGACTGAGGACTGTTAGGGTTAAAGAAGCAGTGTTTTGAGCTTGCTGGTTGTCCTTCTGCTCATGGTATCCAACAATTTGTCGCCTGTTCACTGCTGTTCACTTTCTTTACCCACGGACCATGATTCCATTGAGAAACGACTTGGTCCTTTTGCCAGGTTTTCAATCCCAGGTTTAGTTTGAGATATTGCAGTAGAGATGCAAAAAAATGACGTTGTTTCATTTATTTTGTCGATCTTCTGTGCATTAGAATATCTTTCAGTTCCCATAATGCTATTCCTTTAAAGCGGGTGAGATTTTGCAGCCTTTTAGCAAAATGTAATCTGATCCCACAGAATGAGTCTTAAGTTAACCCTAACTCCCTAGGGTGTGCACAAAATCATATTAAAATTGGAGGATTCAGGGCTGTTGGGGTTAATCCTCAAAAAACTTTACTGTACAAATAATGAATGTTTATTAGGGCAGCGATGTGAATAATTTCATGAGTTGAGAGATGTAATGTTTCTTTTCCATTTTGTTGACCCCAGTGCATTAGGGCATTCAATCTGTCTGTAAATGAAAATATTATTTCCATCGCACAGATATGAAACATTCATTATTTGTCAGCACAGGAAAGAGGGAGTGTCTTATTATTCAGAATGGTTAGAATGTTCTGTTTGGAGAGCCTTGTTTCCATTCCAGAATGGTTGGCCGGTCTACTGGGAGCACTTCATTACCATCCGAACACTACCTCGAAATGGTCCATACACAAAGTGGACTGTTCCTTTCATGCGTAAATGTTCCGATGGAATGCTAGTGTTCCAGTTGGAATTGTCCAGTGGAATGCAAACATTCCCAACTTCAGAGACGCTCCTTAAATCCTGTTGGTGGACAAGTCACTACTTTACTTAGTTCAACACAGGGTTTTCCTGTTCGAAACTGCAAACAAAAGTTTGTGTTGTGTGAAAGGCCGAGTCTGTGCCTTCCACATGCATGCGTAGTGCAACATTCTCGGTCGAAAGAGTTGCAACTGTGTGTATGCCCACTACGCTTGCAATTCAACAATACATTCAACTGAGTTGAATTTCAACAGTCACTGTTGAATATACCGATGAAGTCACTGGCATGTTATCGATGACCGACTGATCCGATATTGGGAATTACTCAGGTGTTGTAGTAAGTTTTTCATTGATTCAAGAGCATATAGTTGAATATGTATGTCTAAATCTCATGGTTGAAAACACTAGAGTGTCCTGGATTTCAGTTGTGCAAGATGTTTCAGAATCCGAAACCAGTAAGATAGGTCTGACAACTTCAGGCTCAATTTAGGTCTGTTTTGTGACAAACTGGTACGACATGAACAAAATGGCAACCTGCATGGGACAGTTTAGTGTCTATTATGAAATCATAGTTATGACAAATATTTGAAAAGAAATGTATGTATATTAACTTGCTGTTGAGTTCATTTCATAGACTGGATGTGGCTTTCCAAACGGATGTTAACATCACAGTATATGTTAATATCCTTTAGTTCAAGGATGTTTGGGGAAACAAGGAAAATTTGTGAGAAGAAATGGTGCTAAGTGTGCAAATAAGGATATTAAGTGTGCAGAAAGTTTCCAAAGCCCATATGCAATCTGTGGGTTTGTGTTACCGCAATATTGCCATGGAGGTCATGCATTCTGGGCAAACAGAAACCTTGACCTTAGTCAACTTGGATAAGATTTTAGAAAAGACACCTTTAAAGCATATTTTGGACATTAGATTACCGAACTTTTAGTGTTGTAGGGGTTACTTGAAGCAGTCACTACATACTTACATCTAAGCCCCTCGGTAATCTCTTCAACTTTTTCGATTTTAAAACAAAGTAACGATCTATACATTCATATTCACTCTTTGGCATTTTTCTTTCTGTCACTGTAGAATGTAAAAGTTAAGATGCTCGATGGGTGTGATTTTTGTTCTAGCTTAACATTACACAGCTTGCAGAATGCAAAAGGTGATAGGAATTCAAATGGAATGACTGTAACATGTGTAAGGCACTCATATGTTGTGTTTATTCGAGTATGTCTGTTATACAAATAGTGAATGTTTATGAAGTGTAATCCGATGAAGTGACAGATGGAATGTTCTTTTCCACTCAGCAAATGTGAGTGGACTGAGACTTTCAGTGAATTTCTTCATTCAGTGTTTCCATTGCAGAAACATTTATTTCTCTTATACAGTGCCTGAATAACTGACTTATGTTTTCAATTTCCCATATTCCTTTCCGATCAAAATTGTGAGAACAATCAACAGATGTTCCTGCGTTTCTTCAGACTGCCTGGTCAGGTAGCATATTTTAATTTTTTGTTTTTGTTCTTTCTATTACAAGCATCAGCATCACTTGGAAGTTCAGAATTGTTTTTTTGTTTGTCAAATAGAGGAAGCCTGTTTGGTTTTTATCCATACTGCTGCCATGTTGTCTGTGTGAGGGGCCAGGACCCTGCCTACCATTCATGCATGTAGCACAACATCTTGTCAAACTCTGACTACCAAGGAGTCACTATTTTACAAGAAGAATAATTCAGTGGCAGGGGATCAACCACCCAGCAACCTGACCACAGGGATTTATTCAGGTGTTTTTTAAAGTTATTCTGTCATATCTTGAAGAGAATAAGATCTCACCCCCATCATAATATGGCAGATAGTTGAGCACCCATGCAGTGACAGGGTATATTGTCTGTAAAGGGCAAAATATTGAAATACATCCAACGCTCTAGTATTGCATGGGTGAATAAAAAGACAAAAACTGAATATGTCAGGAATATTCATTGTTATTGCTGGTAAAAAAAAAATAATTATGCAAGCTGAGCTCTTAAGTGTTGTTTGTTGATGTTAATCAGACGTTATATGCATTTGAGCATAATTGTTTGGTAAATTGACAGTTGAAAGTTACTCTTATACATGACTACAGTTTAATTTGGGGGGGGCTCGGGTTTGATATTGGAATATTCTTTGAAATCCACTTTCATTTTCATGTTATTACTGATTGGGTTAGATATGTATTTGCTTTCAAGTAGGCACTCCTTTGTTTTCTTGTTTGTCAACCCATAGTCGGTGTAATGGCTTATTTCAAGGAAAAGTAGAAAAGTACATGGGTGTTACGTGCTTCAAGCCAGTAGCACCAGTCTGTCTGGATGGACTTTTTTTGGTATTAATTTTGTTAGTGTAAGAATTTCCAACTTTTGCTGGTGGGAAAGTCATCGCATGAAATGGGTAAACTTTGAAGTTATATGTCATTACTTATTACAAAAGGTTTTTAAGTAGTGAGTTTCAAATTTTCAATTTTTTCTGGATCTACAGAAGTTACTTCTTGTTGGATTACCCAATAACTTTAGCTTATGTAAAAAAGGCTCTTCCAAATGTGACCTGCTCTGCAAAAAAGGGTAAGTCGTGTCATACCAAAACACGTAATGGCCTGTTCTATTTGAAGAGGGCAAGATTTCTTCAAAAATGTGGTTTTGTGTTTTTTCCTTTAATAGCTTTTAATATTTATATTTTCAGGATTTGCGACTAGAAACATTGATACTGATGAATAAAGATGAAAGATCGATCATTCAGTAAGAAATCCTATATAATATTGTGTTTCCAAGCGCTACATTTTATGAGCTTTTTTATTGAAAACAAAAATGTGGATATACAAATGCCTATATATCTCCGGAATGGTGCGCACTACAGGGGGTCATTCATGTATGAAAGTGTAGCTTGTGATGTACAGAATGCTGCCATATCAAAAACTCATAACCTGAATCTGGTGACTTATTACCCATTTTTCTAGAGCTGGTCACAAATTCCTGAACTATGCAGGCAAGTTGGGAAGACTTTTTTCAAGGGAAGGGAGATATACTCTTCCAAAACTACTTGGTAACTATAATTTGAGCATCATTATCCTCATTTTACCTTAGTGTGTGTCTAGTGAGACAAACACGTTCAAGGAACTTAACAAATGTTTTGCAATGGTTAAACTGTGCATGTGGATCTTCCTATTTTATTGTTTCGAAAATTTTGTCATGTGAGGTTTACTAGCTGAAGTTTCATGAAAACAGTTGGCACCTATTCATCAGTTCCTGTGGTCAGGTATCGTTACTGAAAGTCAGTTGTTTGTGTTTTGTTGGATTTCTTCATTGGGAAATATCGGGAAACTTAACAATGTGAAATGTTGCAATTTTTAGATAGATGGCGCCCTGTTCTGTTTACATCCACAAAAGTTTGTTGGCCTTTGTCCTAATGAAGACTGGTGCCATTTGTTGTCGTCATGTGTTTATACGGTCATGGCAGGGGAAGCTATGTGGATGGCTGCCCTGCTAGTTTTTGTCCATACCTGCGTCGATCAGCTGTGAAGAGTAACAGTTTCCACCCTTTTCCATCCCTGTAAAGTCATGTTTACTACGATACTGGAATTTTCGAATGACGTTGTTGGTTAATGAATTACGTAAGTATTTTTTGTTTGGGGAAAAGGTAATTTACCCGAAAAAATATCACAGTAATTTTTGGCCTAACGTTGTACTCGAACTAGACCAAGCCAAGGGCTTTAGGATAGGCCTACTTCGAGAACTCAGAAATCCTTTATGCTCCGTGTGACTTCGAGCCAATGGAGTTTAGATGGCGTCGTAACGCTATGGGTTTTTGGAATCGAACTTGATACGGCTATGCAATCAAATTTCTCCTGACACTGAGTGATATAGATTAGGCATCGGCTGGCAGTCATGACGGTGAGTAGCCCCACTAGTGACGTGGCACAGACTCTCAGTCCCGCTCTATCCTTAGCCAAACATCTGTATATGCTATTTGTGTCAGTGTAGTGAAAAAGTTTGGCTCACCCTCTTATAATCATAGGTGCAATTTTGTTAGCACACGGAATTGATCCTTAGCCTCTCTGCTTTCTTAGCGCCATTTATTGAATGATTTCACTCACGTTCTGGCATTTTCCATTCTTTTTGCCTTCACCCATTCAATCTCATGGGCTCGCTCTCACAGTCGCCATCTTTAAAATAAGGTCTTGAACATTACATCACTTGACCCCTCATTGTCTTGACGGCTGTGCTATGTCAAGAACTAGAAAAAGTGTTGTCACCTTATTCATAGATTGATGTCTTCAGCATTTCTGCAATAACTGACCTTTATTGAGATGTTAGTGTTTCTTCATCAGATTTACACTTTTTGGTACCTGTACTGTAGTTTTCAAGTCATAATGAAGCTCATCTAGGAAGATAAGTGGTGGCCATATGCAAAATGTTTTTCCCAATTACCTTTTCGTTCCAGTAAGCCAGGTTGGTATTCCATCAGTGCATGCCTAGTACAAGGTTATTCGAGAACAGTTACACACGTGTGTGATAGTCTGTCCTGTCAGCAAAGCTGTACACTGACTTATGCATGTTCCTTATTTGCGAAAGACCTTGGCTTTTTGAAATACCCTACTTGCTTGTTAATGGTTCTAAAAGACTGTTTTAAAGAGGGGAGTTCATATGATGGATATTTAACTGTGAACTGGTACTTGGAATGTTATTTTGCCCTCCCCTTTTGTTGCATATTTATCGTACCTGCAGAGTCATGAGTATGCATGATCAGTGCTTTGGCACTTCAACATTTTTCTGTCTGTCACAGATTTTTGTCTGGTTTCTGTATCACAAGAGAACAGGTGCAACTTCAGGCTGTACTTGCCGTAAGAAAAGTCTTCCAGAACCACAACTTGGAAAAAGAAAATGAAATAGCCCTGTCCTGCAATGAGATGCTGTAAGACTCAATTTAAAAAAGGAAACGTGAGATCGAAACTTTGATGTGTTTGATGAGAAACTTTTCAATTTTATTCTGACCTGTCTGTGCACACCTCAGAATGGAGGAAGAGAGCTGCATTTGGCTGTGTCTTCCTGACAGCCTGGTACTGCACATCTTCAGCTTCCTCTCTTCACACGAACTCCTGAGGGCAGCGCAGGTGTGCAAAGCTTGGCTGTGTATCAGCCACGATGAACTGTTGTGGAAGGCCCTACTGTACGGGGAGTGGAGGATCGATCATTGTCTGTCATTGCCTCTAGGTTGGTGCCCAAAGCTCAGTCCTGGAGCTGTGAGGTTTAGTGCTGCCCATTCTCAAATAATTTAGCATTTGAATATTCAAAAGTACTTTGGACTGCACATCCCGAACTCGCCAGGGAGAGATTTGCTTACAATGACATTACTCATATTTCACTGCAAGGACACACTAGCTATCAGAAAGCGATAATACCTCCTAAAAAGCTCATTATAGCAGGGAAAATTTGAAGTATTTACTTGGGAAAACTCTCTAAAATTGTTCAGACGAATCTCATACAGTTTGCGCACAGTGTGTCAAGTGATGCCTGGGTGTGGAACTCTTGGTTGATATTGAATTTTTGGAAAAAGTCTGGTGTGTTAAGACCTTTTTTGTCCTAGGGTCAGGCGTAATGCGATAAGGACTAGATTTTCATTAGCTGTGTGCCACTGTATATGTAGTACTGCATCCACGTGTATCCTGGGCTCGGTCCCCAAGCCCACAGCTGGTTTTAAAGGTACCGGTTGAAAAATGCCGCATTGTATTCTCAATGCAATGTTACATAGTCTTATACAGTGGCATATCTAGAGGGGGCAAGGCAAGAGGGACGAAGTTGTCTCTTGCCCAGATGACATCTTGGCTATTTTTGTTAAGGAATCAAAGCACCAGCATTCTAGAAATGGTACATCAACATTCTTGGGAGGGGGGGGATTTTCAGTGTTGTAGACGCATAAGACCATCATGAGACTATAAATCCATCACAAGATCTTTAGTCTTAGTTCAAGTCAACAGCTATTCAAAGAACTGCAGGAAAAGCATTGCTACATGTAGGTCATTGTTCACTCTCTTATTTGTGACTGATCTTGTGAAAGGTCTTAACTACAACACTGGTAAAAATGTTGAGAGTTTTTGGAAAACTAATTGGTTTTGTCATCCTTGAACCTTGACATGACATCGTTATATTTTGTATAAAACATTGTCACCTAAGCTTGAGCTTATGCGGTCATGGTTGCACCCTGCAGGCTGCCCATCCTACTTCCGTGAGTTCCGACGCCTGCAGTGCCATGTACCCTGCCTGGAGGTACAAGTTCTTAGAGAGCACACGGACCAAGTGCTTCACGTCAGCTTCTCCCACAATGGCAAACTGTTTGCCACCTGCTCCAAGGATGGCACCATCAAGGTAAAAAACATGGGGGAAATCAACCCAGTTGGGTGGCACACCTTGCCTGGAAATTAGCTGATGACCTATTCATCCCCATATTTTCTTGGTTGAATTCGAGGGACACCTAATAGTCAACTACCTGCTGTGAGCGGCAACAGGAAAGAGCATGTTTCCATGGGAACTCATCACATGCATGCACAGACTGTACTCTGTAGCCAGGCCCGAATTGGCATCAATCAAATCGTGTTCTTCCTCTGAGTACTTTCTCGTCCAGGCATTGGATCAAGGGAGTAACCACCCAAAATCTCCACAGATGGAATGTGCCAATGCACTCATGAAAATTAAAGGCCGTATTCATAACAAAAGACCAGGCTGCTGGGCATAACCAACATTTTTTCAATCTCAATAGTGGAGATAATCCAGCTCTTGTTTTGAAACAGTATACCATGGGGATTTAGCGCGAGTGGATTACCTCTGGTGACAAAAGCTCTCCACCACAGCAGCGATGAGCCACACAGCACTGCTGCACGCTAATCTGGCCCCTATTGAAAAGTGGTCAGCAGCACACTGTGCCAGTTCTGTGAACAAAAGAAAATTACATAACACCGCAAAATCTGGGCTCTTTTTACAAGGCAGCAGGCCTTGCTGAAATACTCCTGCATCAATAGATGTCGTCTGTCAGATTAGAGTAGAAACCAGACGGTCCTTTGTGTGGGTGTAAGTGTCCGGTAAATGAAGATAGGAATTTTTAAAGAATTTTAAAACAGAAAAAAATGATAATTATCCCGTCCCAGCATCATTAACATTGATAACTGCCACCGGCGCGAAATGGTTAAGGCCATTTTTCTCAGTAATTTTGCATTAGTTTGTATCAGGAAGAACAAACTGAGCTTTGACTTTGTTTTGATGTTTTACTCCATTTGGCATCCCGACAAAATGGACATCGTTCTGGTGAAAAAGTGGAGGGTTCCTATGGATTTACAATGTACGTTTGGCAAGATTTAATGGCCTCTAACTCGGAATGTTGCCGTGGCAACTTGTGACACATTTTGCTCAAGGCTGGGTCAATCTGCTCAGACCTAATTCCCTCAAAGGCAGGACCAATAGATATATTTTGTGTGGTGATCTGCCTTGTTGAATTCCAGGACAGTAGTCCATCATCAGCACCAAATCTCACAGTGCTGCTTAGCACACGATTTCATGCTTACAGAGGCTCCACGTATTTTGTGGAGACCTTAACCCTAACCCCCTAGGCTCCTGCACTAGAGAGCATACTGAACCTCACAAAATCCAACANAGCAAGCCAGACACTGCACACAGTGACCTGCGTGTGTCCCAACTCACACAGAATCCAACACCATCTCCCTGGGCTTTTCATCCCAAGTCTCACAAAATTCAACAACTTCCTCGGGTACGGTACCAAACCTGCCAAAACCTCACAAAACCTGCTGTTGGAATATGGCAGGTTTTGGGCAGTTAGGGTTAAGCAGTAAGCACAGTCAAAGGCATATTAACATCAGAGGAAAAATCTTCTTAAACTTAGTGATGCAACAATCGAAATCCCTATGCATGTGCAACAGTTAGCACCATCACGCCAAGTGTCGCCATGAAATGGTACTTAAGGTTAGAAAAAAATGTCTGCTAAAGTTAGCAGGACTTTTCTGCTAACCGTTAAGCAGTTCAATGAAATTGGGCCCTGAGCAGAGGGAGGGTAGGAGTCCAGCTGATGTGCAGTCCTTAATTGGGACTTATCCCCATAGCCCCATCAAGATCATTTGCCACATGGTGTTTAAAAGATGAAGAATTGAAGGAAAGTCCGTCTTTGGCCTTACAGTTTGCCGTAATCGGTTGCTTATGTACTTTCCTATAACATCTTAAGAATTGCAGAATGCTTCAAGAATGCAGTTTAACAACCAGATAATTGCATGCAGGTATTTCCCTTTTTTATTTCATTGTTTATCATCTCCAAATTGAATATTCAGTAATCAATCAAATATTCAGCACAGCCCTAATTTTGCTGGGCTGCATTGTGTTTGTATATAATCGTTAGAGCTGTAAACTGCTCCACCTCATTTCTTAGGGCCTGTTTGTGTTCTAGGGATTCAGATTGCAATCAGTGATCTGAGGCTGGTTCACTGACACCAGAACCTTCCTAATGGATTACGTGAACCAGCTTTGGGATCACTAATCACAATCCAGATCCACTTGAAAGGCTCTGTGAATTCACAGGTATTGCACTTGAACTGTTCGATCCCATTGTCAGTTATTGTCCTACCCAGACTGAGGTTATCCATCTCGTTGACCCCTCTCTTGAATTTGGTCCTCCAGGTCTGGAGGGTTGGCCCTCCAATCTCGCTCAAGTACAGTCGAGCGATGAAGGACCTGTTCCGCTGGCAGTACACCCAGTTTTCCCAGTTCAACGCCAACGACACGCTGCTCTTAGTGTCTGGTGTCCACTTCGGACCCAACAGCACCTCTGGGGAGATCGCTGTATTCAACCTGAAGGGTTAGTCTAATTTTCTTTAAGCCACATGCCAAAGGTATCATTCTTTAGTGAAAATATTGACTTTTTAAAATGGCAAGATACCGCACGCACGGTACTTTACAAAGATGGACTTAACAAATGCTGACCCTTGGTGGTCATTTGTCCAAATTTGTGCAACATTTGTTTCTGCATGGTTGTTTTTTAAAACTTCAAGACAGTGTCACAGAGCAGCATTTGTTACAGTGCCCAGCCCCTGGTCATAGTCACCTGAGGGCCTAACTCGTGCTCAGCCTCCATAGACTAGCTTAAGCCTTGGTGTGTGGCCTAACTCAATAAGAGTAACTCGTGTGGGAAGAATATACATGAAGACATCACCTGGCACTGTGTACAGAATTTGTCAGAACATATTTGAACATCCGCTTTGTTTTAACGTGAACAAGTCCTGTATGTTTGTGCATTGTGCGGTTTGAAGTGATTAAAAACACAAACTGAATCCAATACTTGTTCATTAAAGAAATTATTTTATAGTGGGACATCATTTCATAGTCTTGAATGATGGAAAGAAAGACAATCTCAGTGTTACCAAAACTTGTGACAGGTTGATGATTTTTGACATCAGGTTACGAGGTGATAGATGACAGCACACAATTATTTTGGTCTTTTTGGGGTTGCAGATGACTTTGCTCTGCAAGCTCGTGTACTGAATAAGCCCTATGATATCTTTGGCTGCTGGCTGAATAACACCTACCTCTTGTCGGGCAAACTCCATTACCTGGGCCACCTGTCATCTTGCTCAGCCCTCTGGCTCAACAAAGCCACCCAGGAGGTCCTGTCTGAACAGGAGTCGGTCATCATGCGCCTGTTCAAGTTCCTGAATGTCAATGCCAGCTCAGTCCGCAGCATCACTGTGGCCAATTGTCGCAACCTCGGCAAAGGCGACGACCATGACGAGCCATCGGTGGTGGGGAACTACAGTGAGTATGACTCGTCAACCCAAGCAGGCCTTAATTCCAGTGGTCCGATGCCAGACTCGAGCGAGAGTGAGCTGGACGGTAAGGCCGGCACCGGCTGTTACATGTACGAGAGTGACACAGAAATGACCGCCAGCGAAAGTGACACTGGACAGAGCGGGATGGATTTACTTCAGGTGTTATCCAGGGACACGCGTCAGGGGTCATCCAGGGACCCAGGTCAGGGGTCATCTAGGGATTGGGGTCAGGGGCCGAGTGAACAAGTGAAAGACAGAGGAGGCATTAGTGCAAGTGGGGCTGTACCCAAGTCTGGTGCTTGGCCTCTCCTGCATCAAAGTCAGAGCGACCCCTGCTTGCCATTAGACGCTGACCAACTGAGGAAGGCACGTGCAATAGCAAACATTAATCAGATGTATCAGCAACAGCAGCAGCTGCTGCAGCAGCAGTCTGGTCAGACGTCACACCAGCAAGGGCAATCAAAGGAGGCCAGCTCCGAAGCTGCACCCTCGTCCGTTCTGGGCCAACCCGCCCAGTCCCAACCTCAGGAGGTCTGCACCAAGCGAAGCTCCCCGGCCAAGAGGGATGTCAGTGACGTCAGCGGCACGCCCCCAGATGTCCTGCGCAAGAGCCTGCGCATCGAGCCGGTCCATGAGGGAAGCCAGCCTGGCACCTTGTCATCGACGTCTCAGGGGAGCAGTGCTGCCAGTGGCCGGGGCCAAGCGGACTCCGACGCATGCTGTACGAGACTCTGGCTGAGGGTCCGGAAGGCAGAGATGAGGCGTGGAGGTGAGAATTATGACGAGGACCTTTTCCGAATTCTGATTGAGGGGATCCATCCCAACGACTGGACTGGACAGACTGAGGAGCACGGAGACACAGGGGCGAGTTGGAGTACCAGTGATGGGCACAAACCTGCGAATTCCTCAAAGCCTGGAACAAGCAAGGAGGGTGTATCAACAAATGCAGGTACATATATAGAGCATGTTGAGGTCCACACCAAGACTGACAAATGTAGCTATGTGTTAACCACATGCGGATGCATTACTTGTAGCTGAAAAAACTCAGTTTTTGAACCAGGCAAGATTTATTAGTCCACTGTCAAGATGCAGCCAAATGCCACACACACTGGCAATTGAGAGTCATATGGATCAGTATTTGTTTGTTTGTTTTTTTTTCATCGCAAACCTCACATTTTTCAACCTTCTAAGGCACAGCTAATGAGTAAGATTTGCTGTGTGCAATATGAGACTTCCCAGACATTGTGTGCACTATCCTTACATACCTAGTGTGGACTTGTGAACAAAAGATGTCCACATGATGCAGGAAAGGAAGACGTTCTGTAGATTAGCACATGTCCACAGGACGTTTCCCCTTCTCGGAAAAAGAGGTTTAGAGGCATTTTGGGGTAGGGGTCATCCGTCGTAAAAGGAAGAGGAATAGTCAAGGAAACCTTGTACAAAAAGCCAGCTGAAAATCGTGTTCCTAGTTCAAGAAAAACGAGTATTTTCTCTGAGTTTCTTAACTGCACAAAAAGAAAGGAATGCCCACTCTAGGTATGTAAGGTAAGTGTGTGTGTGTGCAATACAAATGGAAGATGGGGTATGCATTTACGTGTACATGTATGTCAATTGCTGGGTGCTTGGGGACCACTCCGTGGTTTTAACCTGTTTTAATGGCGTAACACATGGATAGGTCCTGCTCTACCACACAGTACGCAAAGGGGGCAAAGAGTGTATAGTCCTTGATGGTCAATCAATTGTCCTCCCTTGTAAATGACTGTGCTTAGTCTCTAGGATATTATTGTTAAAACAAAAGCAAACAAAAGCAAACAACAAAGCAAAGTTTGTAAGGAAGTTCCACTTTTGATACCCATCCTGAGTATAATATTGAATACTTGTCATATGTGTTTGTAGGCTCTGTGCGTGAACAAGAGAGGGCACTTTGTTACCTAGAAACATCACAGTGGGGTTAAACATTATGTTAAAATCATACCATGTTGGAGGTTCCTAGAGTTACGTGTAGAATGCACAAAATCTGTGCTAAAAATAGATCTTTCTCAATGACCTCTCAATCATTTTATGCACCGCGTACATGCATTAGATTTACTGTGTTGCAAGATTTACACAGCATCAACAATTCACAATGTAGTGTGTTACCAAGATGTTCCCACTGAGAGACCCTTTGTTTTTGCAGTGCATTTTGAGCAGTGGATGACAACCTCTACGTGCTGGCTATGTTGTGCATGGGAACCTTACTTGAATTGTTCCTCAGTGGGGGTTTTTCTTGGCACAAGTGAATGGCCTGTTTGTTTCACATAGATCCAGATCCCAGCGCTGGCTGGCTGTATCTGGGGTCAGTGAACCAACGTCAAATCATTGGCTGTGATCGGGATCCACGTAAAATGAATAGGCTCCCAGTGTTTTGTGACAATAAATTAACACCCCCATCTATCAAACATTTCCATAATTGGTCAACCCTCATGTACTCTCATGCAAAGTGCGGCTAAGCCATGTTTTCGTTGACTGTCAACTTGACCTTCCCAGATGATGACTTCTTGGTTGTGTATTGTATTGTGAATAGTGCCTGTTCTAAAACTATGGCTGGCTGTCAGTGCAATAGTACAAGAGTAACTCACAATATATTAACAAATCCCAAGTAGCTATCAGAACACCATGTGATAATATTTGTACTAAATATTTGATAAAAATGAAAATACTACCCTCTTTAAAATTACTGGGATAAATGTACAGTTTTAAGGAATTTGAGGTAAATAAAAATCAACCAACAATGATTTTGCTGTAAACTTTGGCCGCCTATACAACTTGTAGGTAAAATGAGAATAGTCTATTGCCTGTGTTGCAAACAGTGTTCATGCATATTCATCATGTGATAGGAGAGGCCAGTCACTCTCTGCAGCCATTGGATCTGAGGGAGAGTCAGGCCGTTGGTGTCGGCTCCTCCCACTGCAGCTCCAGTGATGCCATCCTCTCCAGTCCTGACTGCGACCAGTCCTCGCTCACCTTTGCCGCTGACAGCAGCAGTGCCAGCGACATCATCCGGGCCTGGGGCAAGCACTTCACCTTTGGCAGCACGGAGAGTTTAGATGAGGAGCCGCCCATCCACTACCCAGACCGTTGTCGTGGGTTCAGCGACTCTGAGATCACCCGGGGTCACGAGCCACTACAGCAAGACAACCTGCCGCAGCAGCTGCAGCATCAGCAACATCGGCAGCTGCAGGACAGTGAAGATCCCATGTCCAGCAGTNGTATGTCAACTGCTGGGTGCTTGGGGACCACTCCGTGGTTTTAACCTGTTTTAATGGCGTAACACATGGATAGGTCCTGCTTTACCACACAGTACGCAAAGGGGGCAAAGAGTGTATAGTCCTTGATGGTCAAGCGATTGTCCTCCCTTGTAAATGACTGTGCTTAGTCTCTAGGATATTATTGTTCAAACAAAAGCAAACAACAAAGCAAAGTTTGTAAGGAAGTTCCACTTTTGATACCCATCCTGAGTATAATATTGAATACTTGTCATATGTGTTTTTAAGGCTCTGTGCGTGAACAAGAGAGGGCGCTTTGTTACCTAGAAACATCACAGTGGGGTTAAACATTATGTTAAAATCATACCATGTTGGAGGTTCCACAGAGTCACGTGTAGAATGCACAAAATCTGTGCTAAAAATAGATCTTTCTCAATGACCTCGCAATCATTTTATGCACCGCGTACATGCATTAGATTTACTATGTTGCAAGATTTGCACAGCATCAACAATTCACAATGTAGTGTGTTACCAAGATGTTCCCACTGAGAGACCCTTTGTTTTTGCAGTGCATTTTGAGCAGTGGATGACAACCTCTACGTGCTGGCTATGTTGTGCATGGGAACCTTACTTGAATTGTTCCTCAGTGGGGGGTTTTCTTGGCACAAGTGAATGGCCTGTTTGTTTCACATAGATCCAGATCCCAGCGCTGGCTGGCTGTATCCATTAGGCAAGTTCTGGGGTCAGTGAACCAACGTCAAATCATTGGCTGTGATCGGGATCCACGTAAAATGAATAGGCTCCCAGTGTTTTGTGACAATAAATTAACACCCCCATCTATCAAACGTGTCCATAATTGGTCAACCCTCACCAACCTGCACTCTCATGCAAAGTGCGGCTAAGCCATGCTTTCGTTGACTGTCAACTTGACAAAATGACCTTCCCAGATGATGACTTCTTGGTTGTGTATTTTTATTGTATTGTGAATAGTGCCTGTTCTAAAACTATGGCTGGCTGTCATTGCAATAGTACAAGAGTAACTCACAAAATATTAACAAATCCCCAGTAGCTATCAAAACACCATGTGATAATATTTGTACTAAATATTTGATAAAAATGAAAATACTACCCTCTTTAAAATAAATGGCATAAATGTACAGTTTTAAGGAATTTGAGGTAAATAAAAATCAGCCAACAATGATTTCGCTGTAAACTTTGGCCGCCTATACAACTTGTAGGTAAAATGAGAATAGTCTATTGCCTGTGTTGCAAACAGTGTTCATGCATATTCATCATGTGACAGGAGAGGCCAGTCACTCTCTGCAGCCATTGGATCTGAGGGAGAGTCAGTCCGTTGGTGTCGGCTCCTCCCACTGCAGCTCCAGTGATGCCATCCTCTCCAGTCCTGACTGCGACCAGTCCTCGCTCACCTTTGCCGCTGACAGCAGCAGTGCCAGCGACATCATCCGGGCCTGGGGCAAGCACTTCACCTTTGGCAGCACGGAGAGTTTAGACGAGGAGCCGCCCATCCACTACCCAGACCGTTGTCGTGGGTTCAGCGACTCTGAGATCACCCGGGGTCACGAGCCACTACAGCAAGACAACCTGCCGCAGCAGCTGCAGCATCAGCAACATCGGCAGCTGCAGGACAGTGAAGATCCCATGTCCAGCAGCAGCCTGTCAGACTCCCAAACCCAGGACCATGCCAACCACCATGCCCACCATCATCACCACCGGACCAAAGTGCGACGGCGCAAAGTCCCAGCCAAGGTTGAACACCAGCACCTGATCTTCACCAGGGGCAGCCTGGCATACACCCCTCACCAGATCGGCATCAAGCGAATTGATGCCAACATGGCAGACACCCTGAAGGGTCCCCTAGGGGTCAGCATGCAGCCTGCTAGTGACCGTGAGGAGCCAGGGGAAGGTAGAGAGCCACAAGGGGACGGACAGGACCGGCCAGGGGAACTAGAATTTGACAAAGTGGATCATGTGATTGAACTGAATGGCCATGCTATAGGGATGGCATTGTCTCCAGATCATAGGTAAATGTAACGTTCATTCAAGATTTTTTAGATGTTTGTAGATTCATAGACACAACTTTCTCTTTCAACATCCAATTCTGACTAGAACCACTGTTCACCTTGTAAAGCTTATCAGGCTAATGGGATTTGAAAGGCTGAGTAATCATACTTCATACAGGGGTGTGATGATTCAACTTTTCAGCAAATTTTTTTTTTTTAAGATTCTTGTACTAAAGTTCAGCTTTTTGTTCACGTGCCCTTTGCAAAAGTTTAACTTCTTAACATGTGACCACTCACAGCCAGGCTCATAAATATTCATGATTTAAGGGCCAGATTCTCACTGGTCCATTTGCCATCATGTGTCACTCGCTACCTTCGCTGTAATATCAGGCATGCGTGTGAGCATCCTAGTCAAATATGGCAATGTGGGAACGGTTTAATGAAGCTACTTTGGAACTGTTGCCGGGGTGAAGTGTGCATGCGCAAGCATCACCTTAGCTATGCATGAAAAGACGGTAGGACATGCGCATGCTAAAAAGCATTTTAAATGATGCCCAAAATGAGGTTCATGTACGGTAAACAAACTTAACATAGTTTATATTGGGTGGATAGTCGATGTTCGATCCCCTCAGTTCGATGTTCGATCCCCTCAGTATCGGAAGTTGACTACCTCCCTTAGATTTACTTGATTTGTTAATTTGTCAACTTCCAATACCTTGGGGAGCCAGCTTCAAATATCAACTTCTCATACCATGTTTCACTGGTGTCCGTTAATGTGCCGGCATTTCCTCTGGCGCTGTCCTATCCCTAGATACCTGTATGTCAACTGTCGCTGCTGGCCACGCGACTACATGATCGCCGATCCCCTGACCCCACCTCCAATAGCTCAGGAGATTGAGATCCGAGTCTACGACCTCATTAACCTGACCGAGGTCAAACGCTTCCACGGCCACAAGGCTTTCTCCCCAAATGATGAGTTCAACCTCATCTTTCTCGATGTCAGCGACCTCTATGTGGCAAGGTAAGGGTCAAAGTTCATATGCAACTGGGCCTGTTTATGGAGAAACTAGCAAAACCTCAATTTTGTTGATTGTCTGTACTTCACATGTCATTTGTAGCCTTAGTGACATAGTTATAGACCGAAATTTTTATATGAATGTGGCAAAGTTACATGTAATATTTATTAATATTTCATTCTGGCTTGTCACTGACATATAGCAAGTTCTCTTCTCTCTCAGAACTTTAAACAGCTCGCAACAACACGACTGTCACTGTTACCTCGACCCCCAAATTTCCACTAATTAGTTCCTATATTAGAGTGTTGGTTTGTATTTCAGGTGAGAATAAAAGGATAAGGAAGTTTCAATGTCAACTGTGCTCATTTTGCACATGTAGTGCAAGATATAACCATTACTGATGAAATCATATCACAATCTGATGCGCAGTGGTGAGGGTGACATGCATATTTGTCACCCGGTCGTGATCATTTTGGACCAATGAAAATAAAGTATTCCAGACAGATATAACAATTACATGTACTCGTGACTATTTTAGAGAAAGTTGAAATGTCTTGTGGGCTATTACAAGCCCTGAGAAGTCAGAGTACTTTATGGTTGTCCTTCAGTGCAGTCCCTTTGTTGGATGTTTTATTCATTTTTCTCCATCCCATGGTCCTATTGCCAATAGAGATGCTCACCACCTAAGCTTTCACTTTGCTTTGAAATATGCTCAGGGTTTTATGGTGAGGTAATATAAAACTGATGTTTTTTTTCCTGGTCTGACACAGTGGGGCGGAGGATCGACATGGCTACATCTGGGATCGTTACTATGGCAACCTCTTGGCCAAGTTGCCTCATCGTGACGTTGTCAACTCCGTGGCTTTCAACCCCAGGGACCCTGAGATGATGATCACGGCCAGCGATGATCACACCCTCAAAGTTTGGTTCTCCCGACACAAAGCAGCGGTGGCCAAGGATATCAGATAGTGAGCCCCTATCCTTTCACTTCTGACCTACACTCAGCCAAAGTTGTCTCTCACCAAGTTTGCCACTGTATTTGTCGATTCTCAGTGTCTATAGATGTAATATAGAAACTGAAAATCTCTCTGTAGGTTATGGAAAGGACCCTTTTTGATATGTCTGAGACTCTACAGATGTGAAACAGTTCAAAGTCGCTACACCAAAACTTATCACATCCTAATGGTACATTTATCCCTGATTTTTGTGACACACTATTGTCATATTTGCCTGTATTGGCACATTCAAGAATTCAAGAAATTGAGATTCTCAGAACGTGCTCTTTACGACAGTATTTTGTGACAGCAGTGTTCTTTATAATGAGAGTTGACTTTAAGTCAATATGACAGACTGTCAGAGACCACATCTGATGGAAGTTATACTATTAGGATGGGTACTACAGATGTGTAGGGTTGTCATTGTAATAATTTGTTTCATTTTTGAAACTTTTGAAGCATAAATTGGTTTGTTAATGCAAGCCCTTTGTTACCTTTGTAATACCGTGTGCTATTAAAAGTAAAACTTAAAATGTATGTAAATTTTGAAAATTTGTTCAAATGGATTGATTTTAAGCTTAAAGGAAGAGTGTTCAGTGGATTCATTTTTGGCAGGGAAATCATTTTACCCAAAAAGTTTCTCTTATATCAGTCAACATCCACTGTTTGATAGAGATAACACCTGCATTGGATTTACTTTTGTTTTAATGCTTGCAACCAATGGAAAAGAAAAGTTGTCAGACAGAATGTCATTGCTGTTACAAAAGCATTTGAAGTTCTTCAGTGCTAAGGACCTGTTGCTTTAAATATTTTTCTGCTTGGTTGGTTTTCCTTTTTCTTTTCCTTTGTAAAGACACATTTTTGTTCTACTTCTGTAAAGAGTTTCATTCGGCAAACCTGTAAGAGGTTTTTTCCTGAAATTTTTAAAAGTCACTTTAAAAAGCTGCAGATGTGTGCAAAATCGTATCTGTTAACATTGTTATTCTCCGTTGAGCTTCCTAAGTACATTTTCTCACATCCAAAGCCGTTTTTGTTTGAAACTAGAACCCTCAAAAGAGTACAAACTGTGAATACTCATTTTAAGTGTCCAAAGGTTAAGAGAGATGTGCAAGCATGGCAGCCTTGTCAAAACAAGTCTTAACAAGGTGGATGTGAGTTTCACAAAAGCTGTCAAAACAGTTTGACTCTGTGATATAATGCTTCACTTAAATTCGTAGGACCCCTGGTATTTTGCTGGCTATGACTTCTGACCTTTAACCTGCGACCCGAGACCTCGCACAACAACAGCAGGCAAAGGATCTGAGAGGCACTGAACCATCCATCCATCGCTGAAGCTGGAACGCAGTCATCAAGTTTCACAGAGCTGTGATATGTAGCTACATGCACCACTGCTCATTACCTTGGCCCTGTATCTTCAGCTGTCATGGGTTGTGACTGATGGCAACAACACGTGGAAAAGACACTGAATTTGTAACTTGCAAGTAATACTGACGTGCACTCCCATAAGGGAGGGTCAGAAAATAAGAACAGCTGGAAATGTCATCCACACTTTGCTGCATTATTACATGCTGCTTGTTATTGTTTGAATTTTATTCTGTGCAATTTTAAACTTCCTATGTGAGCATATGGAAGGAAGGTTGCAAGGTATATTGCAATTTTTTTTTGTAATTCTAAATCATGCATATTAGCATCGGATGGACATATAAACGTAGGCATGCATATGACGTGCATGTTGTATATTACTGCCTGCTACCGTTTTATTCTCCACCCTGTCCCCTTCATGAAAATATGTGTACAAGTAAATTGGAACTTTGTAACCATTTAAATTGCACAGTGAAATATAATGTCATTTGGGTTTGAGGGACGTTGCCAGACCTCACAGGTTGAATATAGGGGGTCTCTCTATCCGATTCACATCTGTGAAGTTTATCAAATGAGGAAATAGTTGACAGTTGGATAAGACCAAGTAAGAAAATGCAACATTAGGTTGGGATAAAGTAAGAGAACCACCATGTGTGGAGGAAGGCAATTTTGGAGAGGTGGGTTTTCCTTCTGAAGTCCCATGAGTGTTTGTGGAATAACTTAATATTTTTTTTGGGGGGGGTCTACGTTGAAATGTAGATTTACATGTAGTGATATGAAAAGTATACTTACTGCGACAGTGTACTTGTAAATACAGATTATTTTAATACCTGTGGTGCTTATCGATACAATTCCTATTCTTAAAAACGTTTTATTCTATATTTCAGCAAGAAAGAAATACTGTTGCCTTGTTTGCCTGCAGCAATGTACAAACCAAAGAAAAGTATTTTCAAGAGGGATTCTTTGAAGTAAATTTAGTTTTAACTTTTTATCTGCCATTTTTTTCTGAGACAAACCTGCACGTGTTTTTGCATATTAATGAACAGAATCTCCTCATTTACTGCGTGCATTCACACTTAAGATTGTTGCGTAATGCGTGGGACAAATGGCAAAAAGGGAGCGATTTTATGGGTGAATTAGGTGACCATTTTAATGGTCCCAGGTCATTTCTAGTGGCCCCCGCCAATGGTGGTAAGCATTGCAAGAACTGTTGTATGGAGCCACTGTTTTGTGAGTCATTCTGTACAAAACTGAAATGATTGCTTTCCACCATTAAATGGGGCCATCAGAAATGTCCAGTGAAATATCAGTAGAGTCATTTATAAGCAACACCCACCCATCACTGAGAAATTGTCACTAATAATGCACCAGCCTGCTCAAGCGGGGGACTTGGATCCATGACCTCCTGCTTGCAGTGCCTGTACCGGCCTGTGAACCACTCAGCTATTAAGTGGTGTCAGGTTCAGCTGGCTGGTCCAAATCCAGTGTAGAAGCTTTGCATGGTAGCCATCTTGCAGGGCAGTTCTTTTGGTCCACAGGGAAACCTCTTTTGTGCATACACTGTGGAACAAAAACACTGGCCTGCAAAATGGCAGCCGTGCAAACCCTCTATAGACTGATCTGGTGACCGGAAGAAGGCATTGCTTCAATGGTACCAGACTTACAAGGAGGTCATATGTGCACATTGACTGCCTCTTGACCGAGAGAGTTGTGACCATAGAGCTGTATTAAATTACTAGAGTGTAACTTATTTCCTGCACAGAATTTTGACCTTGTCTGGGCGCAGATAGTTTGAAGTCGTACACTTGAATTTTTCTCAGACCAGTCTGTAACGTGTATGAACCACAGTCCCAGAATTTTGGTCATGATGTATATTACAAAGTCACTTTGAAAATACACATCATCTCTTTGGAAGAAGTGATATGAAACAAACTTAAGGTAGAATTACATATGTAGGTATCAAATTTGCTGCGAAGTAGCCATCTGCGTTATGCTGCTGGGTCATTCTATAAATTCAGGGATTTTTTTCCTGGTCTGTTACATCTGACACATGATTTTGTAGGTTTAGAGCATATTCTTTAATTTCCAAGAGAGCTTAATTGATGCAAATTACCTGCCAAATAAATAAAAATGGATTGAAGTCAATTTCACTGATATATCCCATGTCAAATTACACAGGTCAGGTGTAACGGACAGAAAAATATCACATATCCAACCCACAGTTTATAATGACCCTGCGGCGTCTCATTTGCAATTTCTCAATGTTTACTTTGCAATAATCACGTGCAATGTCTTGAAAAGGCCGTTACTAGAAAGTGTCCAGAGCTGTCTTGAATTTGCAGTTAAGTGAATGAGAAGAAAATGCCTAGTTGACAAGTTTGTATCAGTGCTGCAATTGCTGGTTTGCATTTGTGAATCATGCCTTGTGATAAAGTCAGTTCCTTATTTTGGGGGGCATTCAAAACACCCAAACTGCCATTGGTACTGATTGTTAACATGTAGTGGTATGATTACACAGCAGTGATGGAAGTTGGCCCTCATTCACACCTGAATCTAATTTTAAAAAATGATGTATTCATTTACACACGAAAAAAGTTAACAAAGGAAACGACAAGGCCTATGTTTTAAACACAGACTTTTGTAAAGAACCTGTGTGCTTATACCTTTAAGTCTATTCTCTAAATGAGGAAAATTCAATACTCATCCACCTTCAGGTGAAAAAAATTCAATACATCATTGATCTCAGGAGTGCTGTGAGGTGATCAAAGGACCAGATTTTGCTGGTCTGTCTAGAGCTAGGTTGAATAGATGTGTCCAAAACACTCTCTATAGACTATGAAGACGTAATCATGCAACTCTGTGTGGCTTAATAGACCCATGTTACGGGCATCATGATATTGGAAATTTGAATAAGTGTAAAATAAAAAAGCACCAAAATGCTGTATGAAATGGCAAACCAGGGAATGAAAATAAGGTTTAATGCGACAAAGAAGTGTATTTTCAAAGATTCTGTAAACAATTTGTGTATACCCTTGAAAACTGACATAACATTAACTTTAACTTTAATAAGGTAGTCAGCGTGTCTTGGAATATTCCTCAATAGTTTGGTGCCAATATTAACTTTGATATTAGTGAACTTGTGTAGTGGTCTTAGTTTTCAGGTCCCCCAAGGGCATGGGTGATGATTATTGTGTCTTGAAGTAACCTCAGCACAGGTCTGCATGAAGTCTGAGACTAAAGTCAGGCTGTGACCCGAATGTTGTGACTAGGGCTTAAAATAACACACATCTATGGAGGGCACAGACTAGTGGCTAAGACCACTTGCCTTTACACTAGTGTTACTCTAAGCCACAGCCGGTTGATTAAGATACAGCCTGTACTGTCAGTGACCCTTCAAACGGAAGTCAAGGAACCTGACCAAAATGGCAACCATATGTTGACTATTGTTCAGTTGTGTTTTCTCCACCAAGTCAATGGTTACAACTGTCCTGTTAAAGGTGTCAAGTACATGTAGATCAGTGTTTCACTGTAACTTGTAGGTTGTACCCTAAAAGGAGATGAACTACATTAAAGGTACATTTCATGAGTGGTGTATTCAGTGGGGGAGGGGTGGAGCAAGTTGCCCCAGAGAGATGTCACCATTTTTTGTTTGGAACCGAAAGTGTCCCCATGGGGACAGTCATTTTTAGAAAAAAAAAAGAGTTCATTTTGAACACTCGACCAACAACCTGGATATGCCGCTGATTTGTATGCACGTTGCCAAACATTTCTCTTGGCCAGTAGCTTACAATGTGGTTCTAACTTGAAAAGAAAATGTGACATCCATTATTGTTTCACTGTAGCAGAGTGTATGCAGAGCCCCATCAGT